AAAATGCATGTTGATCTTTACCTACTAACTTCATAACCCATCTATAGTAAGTACTTCTGTAGTGCCTACTGTATAGTCCTTAGGTGTATTTTGTGCCTACTACACTACTGCTGGAAATACAGTTGTGAAAAAGACAGATATGGTCCCAATCCTCATGGAATTACAGTCTATGAAACATCGATATTAAAGTAATAACTGATCCTAGTTAAAAGTGAAAGAGGGACAAGAAAAGCATACCTCCAAAACAAATTAGAAGGGCATCTTACATAGTTGTGAAAGATAGCGTTTAGGAAAGACTTGTGTGAAAAAGTGACACGCTTACACTTCAAGGGTGAAAAGAAATCAACCTAACTAATGCAGAGGTAGGAAGAAGTGCTAAGAGAGAGTGAAAAAAACAGCTTGTGCAAAAGTTCCTGCACTAAAGAGAACTTGGTAAAGAACCTTTCATAGATCTGAAAGGTTCTTCAGGTGAAGGCAATGTAATTACAGGGGGAGCAGAGGTGTAAAATATGAGAAAAGACAGACATGAACACCCACTAAGGCTCTACTGAAGATTTCAGAACTTTGGGAAGCTATTAAAAAACATAAAAATGGGGGTATGACAATCAAATTTTCATTTTTAAAAGACTCTGGCTGCATAATAGGGAATGGATCTTGGAAAGAGACAGAACACCCGCCAACAGGGAGTCCAGTTAAGTTACTGCCATCTTGGGGATAGACGAGTAGATGGCATGGACAGGAGAGATCAAGAAAAGTGGTTAAATCTGAGACGAAGGAAGAACTGAAAGGGCTTAGTGAAGAACAGAAGTTAGGGGAGGTAAAAGAAAGCAAGAATGATTCCTAGGTCTCTTTCTCCCATGAGTAACTAGACTGATAGCCTAGGGACCATACATTTGTTTCACGGACACTACCTTGTACTGTGAACTCTCTTAACTCCTCCTTCTAGCTTACTACCTGATATATAATAAAGTAGCACTACACTGAAACCCTCTGGTAAGGAAGGGGTTCATTTTTATCACTATTATAAAGAACATAATTACTAGTCGTAACTGGAGGCATAAGGAAAATTTTAAAATATACGAAAATAAAGTATGAAACTATCAATACAGTATCTAAAATTACAAAACCTTGAAAAGCAAAAGGCAAGTGAGTACACTGGAGGAGAGAGAGAGAGATAGAAAAGACTGACATTTGAAAGAAGGAATCTGGAAGAGAATGTTCAGGATCTAAAATGAGAGTAGGGGATATAAGAGCTTATACTAAATCAGGACCAGGATGAGTCAGGTTCCTTTCAGCGTGAGCCACACAGATAAATTACAAAGTCTACCTGCTTTTGAAGTATCATTATCAAAATGCTTTCACTTCACAACAAAAATAAAAATGTTTATAGCCTAGTTCTACACCCTGAAATCATTCAGATCCATTAAAAAATTAAATTGCTGGGGCACCTGGGTGGCTCAGTCAGTTAAGCGTCTGCCGTCAGCTCGGGTCATGATCCCAACGTCCTGGGATTGAGCCTGGCATCGGGCTCCCTGCTCAGCGGTGTGTCTGATTCTCCCTCTGCCACTCACCCCATTTATGCTTGTGCTCACTCGCTCTCACTCTCTTCCTCTCTCTGAAATAAATAATCTTAAAAAAAAAAAAAGATTAAATTACTGAGGGCTGATTCTAGTACTGATGGGAGAGAAGTAGTAAGAAGATGAGGGGAAATAATCTTTAAAGTGCATAGTCAGACTCAAACTTTTGATTCTCATGGCTAGATTTAAATACAGTGAAACCCTGCATTAACAAAGTTTCAAATAATAATAATGTTATTTGGATAGTTCAGTCTAGCCCCTTGGGCAAGCTAAAGTTTTATTTCTGGGAATGAATGTGGAGGAACGTGGGACTATAAAATGATAACATGAGGCACCTGGATGGCTCAGTCGGTTAAGTGTCTTAGGCTCAGGTCATGATCTTAGGGTTCTGGGATCCAGCAAAAGAAGGGCTCCGCGCTCAGCAGGGAGTCTGCCTCTCCTCTGTGCACCATCCCGCTAGTGCACGGCTGCACATGTGCTCTCTAATAAATAAAATCTTTAAAAAAATATAAAATAAAATGACAACATTCAACTTCACATTATATATGACTGTCTTGGACTCCAATTATGGCATGATAGCAGGGATTTTCTGTAAGTTCAGAATTCTAATGGACATGATAGTCCCTAGCTGCCACATTTAACAAATGGCGATTCATTGCCAACCTGGGGCCTTCCTATCTTGAGGTTTGTGGGCAAACTGTGTGTAGAGGGGCAGTGTTCTCTAAGTCACACAGCCTCTCATTCAGTTTTTTTAAAAATCTGTCATTTCTTCACTGTTTCATGCTCTTACACTCAGTAATCTTCATTTTACACACACTTCTCTCAGTAAAAATCCTGATGCAACCAATACAACCAGGTCTCATTTGTAAATCACTAGTTCCACGAGAGACAAAATGGGAGTTTCCATCCAAATGGGATTCTATGGCCATATAAATAAGGAACCTAAGCATAGCTAACATAAACTGACAGAAATGAGGCCTCACACTCTCCATTCTGTTAAAACAACAACAACAAAAAAAACCCCACTGGCTTCCAAGCAAAGGTGTAAGTCAGTACAACCATCACCCACTTTTTGAAAGTTTGTCTTACTCCACTCTGCTTTTACAGAAGACCTACATCAGTAGCTATTTTTACTTACCAAAAGAAATCCGAGTTTTCGCTCTTATGAAAAAAGGCAAAAATGAAAATAGCATTCAGTGTTTGTTTGCAGCAAGCCATTACAGCGCACAACCCCAGCATTTAGAGTGTCATTGCCAAGCTCCTTCCCCGAGAACTACATTCAACATCTCACCATCAAGCTGCAAGAGCTTTGAACTGTGTCTGGGAGCATCTGTGCTTTATCTCTATTTATTTTGTGCATCTGTTAAGATATGTCCTAAGGCATCAGAAAAGCCTAAGAAAGGTTATTTTTTGGGTCTGAGAACACTCAAAAAAACTTTCCATATAAATCAACTGCTTCTTCACTATACACCATTTCAGCTTTAGGAAAGGTTTCATGGGAATGCTCTGCTTTCAGATACGGGGGTGGGGGGGGGGTGGGGGGGGGAGAGAACCTGTAATGTAGTACATTAAGAAGGAATGAGAAATAGGCTGAATATAGTGTTCAGAATAAAATCTGGGGCGCCTGGGTGGCTCAGTCGGTTGAGCATCCAACTCCTGATTTCGGCTCAGGTCATATCTCAGGGTGGTGGGATGGAGCCCTGCCCCCTAAGCCCGGAGTCTGCTTGTCCCTCTCCCTCTGTTCCTCACCTCTCCTCCCCCCACTCCGCCCCCATCTCTAAAATAAGTAAATAAAATCTTTAAAGAATAAAATTCTGTTTTTCAGAAAAACAGCAAAATAGATACTTGGTAAATAAGAAATAAGATGCAAATGTTCTAGTAATGTAAGTACGTCTTGAAAAAGAAAGCAGCAACCCTCGCAGAAAGAGCCAGAAGTCTCATTAGAAGTCCCTTAAGCAGTGGCTGAATCAGTAAGTGGAGCCTACAGTGAAGTAGACAGGTAGACACAGCGGGGAGGCCGACACTACCGAGTGAGAATTGCACAGCTTTGTTTCAATAAAGATGGAGACTAATGTCCATATCCCCTGGAAAATGCAAAAAAAAAAGCAATATTTAACATCCATCAAACACATACAAGAGGATATGAACAAAATGGAGACAAAGGAGTCTGCAAGTGGGATATACATGCAACATAACACAAAAGGAGTAACAATTATCTTTTGATTCTTCACCTTCGATATGCCTTTACCTTATCTTAAACATTCACAAGAACCTTAGCAGGAAACGACCTCATTTTATAGAAAAAGACACAGGCTCAAAGATGTCTAAACTCACCCCCAGAAGTATAAAGCGGCAGACCCGGCATAACAGAGCGATGGTAACTCCGAGACACTTCGGCTTCTAGCACGTGTGCGCAGGTTCGACGCCCGCGTGCCTCGAGGCACAAAACAGGTAAACACACCTACAGCCTCAGAACAGCCGCGTCACCCGCTCCAAGAAGAAGTAGAGAAATTCCGAAGACGGGGCGACCTGCTCACTGGCCGCTTATTTAAAAAACGCCTACTCCAGGGCCAGAGACAAAGGACAGAGCGGTGACCAAGCACACAAGGCCGCTCGCTGTCCGCACGAGGCTTACAGTCTTGAAGACTCTTCCCGCTCAGGACTAGGAGAAGAGGGCGCTCTGCCGGCGGCGCGGCAGGGGGCGCGTGGGGTGGCAGCGGCACGTGAAGCCGGCCCCACAGGAAGGGACGCCAGACCCCCGCCGCAGCGGAGGGGCGTGGCACGCGGGGAGCTGGAGCCGCGCGGCTCCCGCGCGGGAGGCACGAGGCGCGCGCCGGGCTGACGTGGGGGCTGGAACGTCGCGCGCGCGCCAAACTACGCCAAAGCGAAGAGAGAACTCTCAAAGGATGGGATCATCAGCACTATGGCCCTGGCGGGTCCCTTGAGAGGACCCTCAAAGATGTCCTTTGGGGCAGGAAGTGGACCTAAAGTCCTCCTTGGCTTACCGCCGCCTGGGGGCCTTGGCTGCGGGAAACGGAGAAAGGTAAAGGGGGACAAACGGGCACTCACCGTCCATGGTCTCCCTCACCGCGTTCAGATTCGCCGCCGCTGCCGCCGCCGCCCCGGCACCGCCGCTACTCGCCATGGCGGAGGCCGAGGGAAGCGGGAGAAGGGCCTGACCCGGAACTGGAGCGCCTTCCTTTCTGCTGGGCAATCACACCACGCGTCCCCCGCTCACGCCGGGCAGGCTCCGCCCCTCGCGCTCGTCGCCAGCGTGAGGCTGCGTTGATTTAAATTTGGAGCCTCGTTACTCTGCGCGGAATGCGAAGCGAGGAGTTGCCATTCGAATTTACTACGCGGCCTCGATGCGATTGGTTGGTTCGCGGACAGCGGTACGACGCGATTGGCCAGTTCCCCACAGGGCCCGTGCCCTGGTTGGACTAAGACAGCGCGGAAGCGGGGAGTTAAAGAGTCTATGCCTGTCGTGGGAGCTGACCTGGCCCCTCGGGAGCGCCCTGGAGTCGCCTACTGGGGGGGCTTCCTTTTTATACACACCACTAGGTACGTTCTTTGTAGTGCCTGGCCTTTCCTCCTGTCTTGAATTGGAGAGCTCACTTTTCCTTTCTCCCGACCCACCTGCCCACTGTCCCCGGGGTGAATGGGAGCAGCGAGGGACTAGGTGCCGGGGGAGGGGGGGTGGCAAGCAGTGATCGTGTAGGGTTGGGAGTGACACTGGCCGGAGTGTCCACCTCTGCACTTCACCCAAGGAAGCCTGCTGCTTCAGCCTTCCCAGAAGTAGATTCTTTCTCCCTAGTCGTATCCCCCTTTGACTGAAAGTAATGCAGCCTGGCCTTCTACCCTGGGCTTCTTAGCGAAAAGGAGGCTATTTGAGGAGAGGCAACCAAAGGAGGCGGTTAATTTCCTAGTCCTAATCAGTCATACTTCTTTGAGGGGGGCTAAAGTGGAAGAAAGACACCCGTACACAAGCTTCGTCGTCACGTATTTGCTTGCTACAAATAATTGTAGTTTAGCAACTGTAGTTTAATAGGCAATTGCTGGGATATCCGAAGGATGTTCAAAGTCTTTAGAGACTTGAAATAATGAATAAATAACTATAGGTTCTTTTAGTTGAAAAGAGTTTTGTGTCTGCTATAACATTTAGTTGCCTCATTCATATGTGATTGACTGCTACTTATGTGCCACTTCTCTGAGCCTAAATCTTCTGCAGATGATTATCACTGATACTGTATCTCTCTAGCTTTAAAGGTTATTTGGAGAATCACTTTAGAAAATATATGTGAGGGGCGCCTGGGTGGCTCAGTCGTTAAGCGTCTGCCTTCAGCTTCCCAGGGTTCTGGGATCGAGCCCCGCATCGGGCTCCCTGCTCGGCGGGAAGCCTGCTTCTCCCTCTCCCACTCCCCCTGCTTGTGTTCCCTCTCTCTGTCTCTCTTTCTGTCAAATAAATAAATAAAATCTTTAAAAAAAAAAAAAAGAAAGTATATGTGATGCCTCTTTGTAAACTGTAAAAAAAAAAAAAAAGACCCAAGAGCATTAGATTTTGAGTTCTTTTTGCAAAATATGTTTGTTGAATACATTTTAGTTGTCAAAATGAATGTGGAACTTTGTGGTTTCATTTTTCATACTTATTTCTTTTTAGTTTTCTCTCTGTGCTATGGGAGATGTCAAAGAATCAAGAACGCAAATACCACCGGAAACTCCAGGAAGGATCCCGGTTTTGAATCCTTTCGAAAGCCCTGGTGATTATTCTAATCTCCATGAACAAACTCTCTCCAGTCCTTCTGTTTTTAAATCAACAAAATTACCAGTAAGTTATTCTTGACAAGTATATACAAATTATTTTAAACGTAAACATCTTTTTTTAGAAGGGAGAAATTTATCCTGGAGCACATATGTCTGGAATGTGCTTTTTTAGTTGTAATGTTCACTATAGTGTAGTGATTGGGCTAAAAATAAGTTAGGTAGTTTTTTTTTTTTTTTTTTTTAGTTAAAATTTCTCTTTTTTTTCTTTCAGTGGATAATGTGTTGGCTTCCTGCAACTGGGTGTAGCTAGATACTATGATTGATGACATATTTACTAATACTATATTTGAGGAGACACTGTATCATCTAATTATCTATTCTCATTTATTCAGCAAATCTTTTTGAATGCTGCTGTGTTAGATAAAGTACTAGGCATAGAGAAGAAGTCAGGGTCATTAGACACAAACTCTCAAGGAGCTTGCATTCTAATGCAGGAGTCAGCAAACTTTTTCTGTCAAGGGCCAGACAGTAAATATTTCAGGCTTTGCAGGTCATCTTGTTGCTGTTACAACTAGTCACCTCTGCCTTGTATCACAGAAGCAGCCATAGGCAATATGTAAACAATGAAATATGGCTGTGTTTCAATAAAGCTTTCTTCATGGACGTTTGAATTTCATGTAATTTTCACATGTCATAAAATAATAATTTTTAAAAATTTTCCAACCATTTTTAGTTTGCAGATTGTATAAAAAGAAGCCAACATCTACTCTAAAGGAAAACTCGTAACTAACCTAGCAACTTCAAAACAATATATGTGGTATTAGTGGCTAAGGTGATTAAGGGTGATATGGAAAGGAAAGTGCTCTTTTGGAGATTAGGGAAGACTTTATCGCTTTAGCTTATTTTTACTTTTATTTGCTACACTGGAGTTCTTTTGAAGTATGATCTTTTAACCTAGTAAATTACCTAGAAAAACTGCAAAGTGCGTTGCAATTTATGCTATATTTCATATCCGCTAAAACTACGAGCAAGTAAAATTTTACAGTTAATGCAGTTTATATTGAGTTGTAAATATGACCTCATGATTTTTGATTGAACTGTATTAAATTTTAGTTCTCTGTTAATCTAGAATAAATAATAGATTAGCTGCAGCTTAATCCTCAAAACGAGAATGTGTGGGATGTTGGATTTTTAAGCCTGGTTTTGTCAAAAATGCATTCGGAATTATAGATTAGGATTTGGGTAAATTTTTGGTTCAGTTGGATAGTTGAATGCAGAAAAGCAGCAGTGATTACCATTCATAATTATTTTAAGGATCAACTATTTTATGAGCTTTTGCAGGCACTTTTGTAGTTAGGACTTCATTTCATTTCAGTTCATTCTTAGTGAAAGTAAAGACCTTTGATAAATCTAGTAAGAGATTTTTACCTTTACATGGGTATGTTGCATCACTGATGAGTATTAATTGTGGAATTTCTATACCTTTATTACTCTACTGTGATTTTTTTTCCATTATTAATGCAATTTTAAAAATCACCCAGATGGAAGATTTGGATATTTTAAAATGTAGTCCAGTCAGTTGACTTAGTGTGATTTGATTACCATTTGCCATTTAATTTAGTGGTAAAGCCAAATTTTAAAATACAAGCTTTGAAATACTTTTGCATTATAACCATTCACATTATTTTGAAGCTGACATTGGTTAGAATTTTGATGAACTATTTTAGTTTGCTTTTACTCATAGGTTCACTTTCTTTTGTTAAGACTCCAGGGAAATTTAGATGGTCTATTGATCAACTAGCTGTAATAAATCCTGTAGAAATAGACCCAGAAGACATTCATCGTCAAGCTTTATACTTAAGTCATTCTCGGTAAGTTTTCCTTTTTTGTATTTAAGTATAATAACATGTTCTTAAGTGAAGAGAGATAGGAAACTCCGAAGGTTGAATATATTTATAGGTAAAGATATCAGGGAGAAAAAATTCTGAAACAGATTTACTGTAGCTAAGTGAAGAGTGAGTTCAAAGAACTATATCCAGAAAGAAGATTCCCTTGCTAACAGTTGTAAACCTAAGTAGGAATCTTTTTTTTTTTTTTTTTTTTAGAGATACTTCCCTCTGCTTCTTATGGGACAGCTGTGCTTTCCAGCACTTGGTAGAGAGAAGAACATTTTGAAATTTGTACCTTTCTACGTGATTGTGGCTTCTCCCATTGAATTTTTATATTGTTTTATTTTTTGGTGGTGTTGGGTAAAGCAAAATGCTCTTTCATTGCTGTTTATGTTTGGGGAAGCCTAACATCCCAAAACACATTGAATGGAAGGGTATCCATAAGCAACAGAGAGAGCTTTTCTAGACATTATCCAGTTTTGATACAAGACCCTTAGGGGATCTAAATTACATTGTACTGAAGTAAATCTAGTAATCAGAGCAGCCTTAACTTTTTGCTGTGTTATGCAGGTTTCGAGCACTAGTGTGCCTCAGACTGGTGGGCTGCTTGATGATGTCCAATGTAGTGAGAACATGCACTTCTTAGGTGGAACAGACCTAGCTTTTGATTACATAGTACTGTAATCTGTAATTATAAATAACGGTGTTTGGTAATAGTTTGGGGGCTTATTGTTGATGTCAGTTTTATAGTCTGATGTTTTAAGTATTTGAAACAATTGACTACTGGTGTAACCAGCTTTTAGTTTTCAGTCCCAAGATACATGTGTTGTCAGTCCAAAATAATGGATAATTGTTTTCCCTTTAACTTTAGAATTCAGTCACACAAAAATGTACACATGTTGAGATGCTTTTACAAATATTTGTCTGGATTTTTAACCCCTTCCTCTCTTGGCTTAGTAACTTGATGACCATTCACTGACAATTAATGTCCATCCAGAGGTGTTAGGAAGGGAATAGAATGGGGTTAGAGCATAAGAGGATTTTAACTGAAATATAAATAATACCTTTGAAGAGAAGGTGAAAAGAATATCTAAAAGCAAATGAGTGACAAATTAGACTGATTTTTTTGTTTCACACAAACTCTGTGTTTTATTATTTGCCTCTTGGTATATTCAACCATAGACAACTGTTATCTTCAGTTAAGAGATATTTATTGAGCACCTTCAGGAATACTGAAGAAGCATAGACTATTATTTCTGATATGCAGAGCCAACAGTACAATTAACCAAAGTTGTGGCACATTTCCATACTTATTAATAAATGATATGTCCTCTAGGTAGGTTTATGAAAAGAATCTTGGTGTATTTCAGTAGGTAGATTTATAATACAGAAGAGGGGAAAAGAGTGGGAAAACCCTAATTTTAATTTAATTTACTGATGTAATTCAGTAAATGATTACGGCTTCTACAAAGGATAATGAGTACATTCTCAACAAAATATGCTGACTCATTCTTAGAAACAAACTGGCTTCCAGTGTCTCTTCCTATCTAATCCGAGGGCCCAATTTCAGTGCTTCCCACCCTTTCATACTGCTCCACATAAAAAATGATAATTGTAAGGCAGATGGGTGTAAATAAATGAATCTGTGCATATGGAAGGTGAACAGTCCTGAAAAGGCCCTCCCCTACTCAGGATCCATTCAGGATATTCCTGTAACCTATTTGCATCATGCTGGTGTTCTTTGTCAGGATACTCTGTCCTGTATGACTTCTGAGAACCTTCCATGATTAGGTTCTACAATATTTGCCTAAACTGATTTTCACCGCTTCTAGCAATTGCCTGAATATTTCAGGTTCTTAAAGTCCCTCTGATGAAGCAGAAAATGTTTCTGAATGAGGTGATATTAAATCAGAGCTTACTAAATACTATATTGCTGTTATTATTATGCACTGTCATTTTGACCTGGCTTATGTTCATGAGAAGATAAAGAGAACTGAGTTATTTGTCCCCAGAATGGCTGTTGTTGAAGCTGAGATATGTGGATTATCATTGTAGTCTATTTTCTCATCATTCCCTTCCTTGAAAAATTCACTTGATTTTAATTTGTGAAACGTACATTTTTATATAAGGTTTGTTAAAGCCACAAATAATATACGTGAAAAATTTTGAGAGACAATCATTTAAGTTGTTATAAAAAGAAGTGTTTTACCAATTTATTAACAGAAAGTAAATAATCTTCCTTGGGACAGATTAAAGTGGTCCTCCAAGGCTAACTGCTTAGTCCTTGGCAAGTCTATGCCTTGTGCTCGAGACCCGACATTTTGTGTTAAATCTTGTAGCTGATAAATTTGTTTTGCTGTAATTGCATATTGTATCAAAGTGAAAAAAAATCATTTGGACAGAATTCTATATTGTCATTATTTTATTTCATAATTAATATTTTTGCTTCTTTGTTCAGAACTGTAAGGATGATAGTTTCTTTTCTTCTATTTCAGAGTAAGAGTTGATTCTAAAATTATAGCTATCATAAGCTTGCTATAACAGAAGAAAGAGAATCTGGACAATTTTTAGATTTCTGTGGAATGAAATACTTAATTTATGATGGTTAAAGGACAATGTTTATTCAAATTGCTTTATGTTGTTAATAGTAATTTAAAAATTATATCAATGTAAGCCCTTGAACAGAAAATACTATTCCATTCAAACTGAATGGAAAAGAGGGAGGTAAGCCTACCAGCACAATGCCAAATACCTAAATGCTGTCATTTACTGAATGTGATAAGACATCAGTTTTTCTCTTAAAATAAGCCTAACATTTGCCAGTTTTCAACAGAAGGAAATTATTTCTTTGAAAGCTTATTATTTTAAATGTTCAATCAGCTGAAGTAATGGCATGGTTATGTTTCTTCTTTATCTCTGTATAGAATAGATAAAGATGTGGAAGACAAAAGACAAAAAGCCATTGAAGAGGTAACTTAAAACCGTTACTGATCATAAAGCCAGTTAAGCATCAATTCTGCATGCACGTCACCCTGTTTAGGATGACTTCCTTCACATCCTTTCCTGTCGCAGATCGCCACCAGCCTGGCCTGTCCCCAGCTGTGTCTGGGCCCCTCTGTGCTCCCGTAAGACCAGCGTTGCTCACCTATGCCAGGGCCTGTCATAGTGCTCTTACGATACTGTAGTGACTGGTTTAGTGCTTCTCTCCCCTAGACTACCTTCTTTTCTTGGCCAATATTGTACTTCATTTATCTTTTCATTCTCAGGGCCTAGCCGGTTTGTCTTCCTTGTGCCGTCAGCATACCGATGAGTACAAACTTCTGTTTCAACTTGGAGTTTATGTAGAGAAAGTTGAATATTTTCAGACCTTGAAAATCTAGATTGGCATTGGCACCGGTTTTATCGTTTATTGTTAATGCTTTGAATTTTTGAAATAAAATACCTTACTAAAACATAAAAAAAAGTATATTACAAATGTAGGGGTTTTTTAAAATAAAAATAATAAACTAAGTTTTTCACTTTTTGCTGCTTTGTTTGATGATCTCCTCTTAGAGTGCAAGCCAGGGTTATCTATCTAGTTATTTCCCAGAGAGTCTTTATGTCATGGCAACATCTCTTTTTCCTTTTTCCCTCGCTAGCCCCCTCTACCCACCTCTATTCCTTAGCTATATTTGGCTCTTCTGCACCCCAGAAGACTTCAGCTATGCTGTGTGTAGAGATTAAGTGATGCTCTGGCCCCTCCTACACTTATTTTTCTAGTGTTGTTATTGTCTCCTTGTGTTTCAGATATAGCATATTTCTTCAAAAACCGTTGCATGTGCTTTACTCCTCCCAGACATTATACTTCTTTATGTAGTAACTTCAGAATTCTCATTCTGATCCAATCACTTGATTCCACCACAGTTGAATATTCTCAGACTGGTTCCCCTTTCCCAACATTTTAGAAAATATGCTTTCCCTTTAGAATCCTCAATTTTAAAGGGAAATTCAGCAGAAAATTTAAGAAGATGAGGTCGGAGTGAAAATTAGGGTCAGCGTATCAGAAACAAGTTAATATATCAGAAACAAATTAAATATTTTCAAATGTATAAATTTTTGAAAGAATAAATAAAATACATGCAGATAGTCAAAACAAAACAAAATTTGGACTTCAAAGAAAAATTATAAAATGAAAATGAAGAGCTTCTTGTTTCCCATCTTCCTAAAAATAAGTATGTGATATTTATACTTTCAGATTAATTTTATGTATATAACAGCAAATGACCTTTAACAAATAGGATCACCATTCTCGTTTTGCATCTTGCTTAATAATGTTTCTTAGATTTTTTATTATTAGTGCATACTGATTTTTAGTAACAGCATAGTATTCCTTTTATGAATGTGTCATAACCTAACTCAGCCCCTACTGATAGATATTTAGGTTGTGTTTGGTGTTTTTCTATCACAAATAATGCTTCAGTGAACACACTTGTACATATATCTTTGTGTAATTGCAACATACTTGCTAAGTCAGAGGCTTTGTGTTTTCAGTTTAGGTAAAGTTTGCCATGCCGCCCTCCCAAAAGGTGATAGCAGTTTTTACTCCTGGCCACGTTATGACACTTGATGTTTTCTCATGTCTGCAATACTGGTTATTGTTCAGCTTCTTAATTTGTATTATCCCTTTAAAAATTTCATCTTGTTAATTTGGATTTATATGTTTTTCATTTTGATTGAACTAAATACATTGCTTCGTTAGTTGGTGGGTCCTTTATATTTCTGGAAATTGTACTTATCGTAATTTCTGCCCCCTCCCCCTCTTTTTTTTTTTACATCTTTCCTCATGTCGAGGAAATTGTTCTTTACCATATGTATAGCAGAATATAAAAATGTTTTGGGGGTACCTGGCTGCTTCAGTCCTTACAACGTAAGACTAAGACTCTTGATCTCGGAATTTTGAGTTTGAGCCCCACATTGGATGTAGAGATTACTTAAGAAAAGAAAAATCTTAAAAAAAAAAAAAAAGAAAGAAAGAAAACTAAATGTTTTGAATTCGTCCCAAAACAGAGAGTGGGAAGGGAAAAATCCTGTATTAGACTTTATTTTGTATCTGGGATGAAAAAGGAAAGACCTGTATCCAAATGCTCTTATCTCCATTTGAGTGTACTGGCCAGTGGTGTACTATAAATGTTTAACAGCTGGCCCTCTGGCTGTGGGAGGAGGCTGATTTTTAGTGACTGCTGCTTTCTCTAATGTAAATACTCCAGCCGTGGCCAGTTTCAAGTTACTGCTGTGACGTTACCGAACGGTAAAAGAAGGGCAGCGGGAGAGCAGTGTGTGTGGGAGTACCACCATGCTGATGCAGAAGACATGATGAATCTCAGGAGCACCGATTCTGGGGAGCGCCCAATAATTAGCGAGTCCTGCGTTGGGGCTTTTGCTACCTTTTTGTTTTATATATTTATTTGTAAGTTGACAAGTTTTTAACATTGGCTTTAACAACTGATGCACAAAATTCCAGAAAATTTAATAATTAGGTCTTGAGAGCCAGGATAAGCCTGTGCCAGCACAGCAATCATACGAGCTTCCTTGTATACATCTATTTCCATTTATTTCTTCCCTCTTCATCCTCCCTTTTGTCATCTGCACCCTCCCCCCCCCAAAAAATTGGGAGGAATTAAAAGTATTTCTATGATTAATGCCCTTAGATTAATTTGCAAGTTTTAAATTTTAGTGGTTGAAGTATTAACATTTCTCTTTATATATACTTTACATTTCTTTTTATTTTACCTTTGGTCATTTGTGCTTTTAAGTATTAAGATTTTTAAATGTAACTAACTATAAAGTCTAGGTAACATGTTTGATGATTATTTGAAAATAACATGGGTACTTGTTTATATTGGGGGGGGAATTATACCTAATTGTATGACTTTAATTTTTCTAGTTTTTCACAAAAGATGTCATTGTACCCTCTCCTTGGACTGATCATGAAGGGAAACAGCTTTCAGAGTATCATTCCAGTAAATGTAAGTGTACTAAAAATCATATGAATGAAAATTATTAAATCATAGAATCGTAAAACTCAGTGAATATAAACAATATATAGTGAAGTGTCAGCTTATCTGCTTGGGTAAGGAGCTTGATACACGTTAGATTTCTGGATACCAGACAATTTAATCTTTTAAGGGTCAGGTTTCCAGGTAAGGAATGAACAAGTCATGAGAATAAAAGGCACAGCATAGAGAATATAGTCAGTGATGTTGTAGTAGCGCTGTGCGGTGACAGACGGTAGCTACACTTGTGAACAGAGCATAACATACAGAGTTGTACAGAGTTGTCAAATCACTGTGTTGTGCACATAAAACTGATGTAACGTGTGTCAACGACAAAAAAGCTGTTTAGAGTTTACAATTGAAAATGTGACTAAAATGTACTGAATTCTTATTTTTGGCCATTTTGTTCTGAATTTAACTTCTTCATGACTGTTGTGAGTATCAGTTATGATGGTTATAGAGGATCCATTGATGCAGAAATAGTTGGTATTGAATCAAGAACTGAGTTGGTGTTTTCTGCCTAATTTTCAAGGTTAATATTTAAAATGAAATTCTTAAATTGCTTTGCTTTTTGCTAATTTGCTGATTTCTTATAAAGGTAGAGGAAATATGGACACTTGACCTCTAGGGCAGTATTATATAGCTGATTATATGCAACATACTATTAATAAGGAAACTGAAGGACAAACCAGTAATCTTTTATTTTTCTGCCTTCAGGAAATGGTTATCTTTTATTTACTCTCACTGTCCTTTGAGTTATGAGCCATGTTCGAGTATCCCTTGTATATATAGGCTCATTTCAGTGAAATTGCCTACTCTTCTATATAGCATTCATTAATTATGCTCTCAGTATAAGAAGGACTGTTCCGTCCTTTATCAAAAACACAATAATAGGTAAAATGGATTGAGCACTCTCCATGTGCTAAGTGCTTTCAGTAATTCCTTACAACAGCTCACCTGAGGGAGGTACTATTATTGGCCTCATTTGATGAGAAAAGCTAGTTTTAGAAAGCTTAGAGCACTTGTTCAGGATTACAAAGAGGATAAAAGTGGTAGAACCTGGAGTCACAACTAGACGTTTTCAGTTGGAGTCTGTATTCTCAGCCATGACAAACAGAAGGTAGCATGCAGTAGTGGGTGGAGACCTGAGCTGGAGACCTCCTGCTACTATAAACCTACAGGGGTGATCTTGATCAAATTATTCGGTCTCTTTAGACCTCAGCTTTTTATTTATAAAATAAAGGAGGTGAGCTACATAGTTGTTTCTCCCAGCTCTTAAAATTTCTGTCCAGGGTGACATTTTCATAGACACTAGTTTTTTCCCCCAACTCTTCATGTTGATTTTTGACAAGGTGAATCAACCTTCTTATATGGTCTTTTTACAGGTGGGCACAGGCAAATATGGTTTTGTTTATTCACATTGGCTTATACTGTTAACTTTTACTATTTTTAATACTTGTGCAGCAAGGTGCTTCAATGAATATCCTTGTGTGTTTTTATTTATGGACTTGAGTGAGAATTTATTTGGAATATACACATAGGCTGAGAATTCCTAGCGTATAGACTATGTGTTTACCTGTTTTGACTATGCAGTGGCCCCCTTCTCCAGAATGAATGCACAGTCTACATGACCACCAACAGTGCCTAGGATTCCTATGTCCCCACATCCCTGCCAGCCCTTGGCATTATCCAGCTTTCAAATGTTTGCCTTTCCTTTTTTTTTTTAACTTAATTTTATTTACATTCAAATAATTAACGTATAGTGTATTGTCAGTATCAGAGGTAGAGTTCAGGGGCGCCTGGGTGGCTTAGTCGTTAAGCATCTACCTTCGGCTCAGGTCATGATCCCAGGGTCCTGGGATCGAGTCCCGCATCAGGCTCCCTGCTCACCCGGAAGCGTGCTTCTCCCTCTCCCACTCCCCCTGCTGGTGTTTTTGCTCTCGCTATCTCTCTTTCTGTCAAATAAATAAATAAAATTTTAAAAAAGGGAGAGCTGAGTGATTCATCTGTTGTATATAACACCCAGTGCTCATTACATCACATGCCCTCTTTAATGCCCAACACCCAGTTACCTCATCCCCCCACTCACTTCCCCTCCAGCGACCCTCAGTTTGTTTCTTCTGATTAAGAGTCCCTTTTGGTTTGTCTTCTCAATTTTGTAATTTTGTCTTGTTTTATTTTTCCCTCCCTTCCTCTATGCTCCTCTGTTTTGTTTCTTAAATTCCACATATGAGTGATAATGCATGATAATTGTCTTTCTCTGATTGACTTATTTCACTTAGCATAATACCCTCTGGTTCCGTCCATGTCGTTGCAAATGGCAAGATTTCATTTTTTCGATGGCTGAATAATATTCCATTGTATATATATATACACCACATCTTCTTTATCCATTCATCTGTTGATGGACATCTGGACTCTTTCCATAGTTTGGCTATTGTGGACACTGCTGCTATAAACATTGGTGTGCAAGTGCCCCTTCAGATCACTACATTTGTATCTTTGGGATAAACACCTAGTAGTACCATTGCTGGGTTGTAGGGTAGCTCTATTTTCAACTCTTTGAGGAACCTCCATCCTGTTTTCCAGAGTGGCTGCACCAGCTTGCATTCCCACCAACAGTGTAGGAGGGTTCCCCTTTCTCCACATCCCCGCCAACATCTGTCGTTTCCTGACTTGTTAATTTTAGCCACTTTGACTGGTGTGAGGTGGTATCTCATTGTGGTTTTGATTTGTATTTCCCTGATGAGTGATGTTGAGCATTTTTTCATGTGTCTGTTGGCCATTTGTATGTCCTCTTTGAAGAGATGTCTGGTCATGTCTTCTGCCCATTTCTTGACTGGATTTATTGCTTTTGGATGTTGAGTTTGATAAGTTCTTTATAGATTTTGGATACTAACCCTTTATCTGATAAAAAATGTTTGCCATTCCTAATGGGTTGTTTGACATTCTAAATGATTGTTAAAATTTTCATTTCTTTATATACTAATGGTCTTTGAAATTTCCTTTTTTGTAAAATACCTGTTTATAATTTATTGGCTATATTTTTATTGAAGTTACTGGGGTTTTTTTCTTGGTAATTTCTAAGACACCTTGTTTAACAAAGTTATATTGGTTCTAAACATTTCATATACCATCTCCCATTCTGTCATATGTATGCTGTTTTTGTTCTTGATGTCTTTGGTTGCATAGAAATTCTAATTTTGATGTAATCAAATCCATCAATTTTTTTTTTCTCCTTTGATTGTGTTTTAAGCTTATTTAAGAAGTCCTTCTAGGGGGAAGGAACCAAGGAAACACTTGCAATAGAGTTGAAAAGCATAATAATGCTGCATTTGGTGTCTTTCTGATCTAAGGAGGTCAGGGAAGGCATGCTGGTAGAAGATAATTTAAGCTGAGACCTAATTAGCCAGACTCAGCAAATGAGGGAGAAAAGTCAGAATAGTATGAGAAATACTAAATGTGAGAGAGAACCTGTTTTTTTTTAGGTGCTCAAATAAATAGCGTTTAGTTGGAGGGCAACTGTGCTAGAGACAGACAAGGTTTTGAAGGGCTTTCTACGATGCTAAGTTGTATGGACTCTAGCCTGAAGACCAAGGACGTTACAGGGTTTTCTGCAGCAGAGTACCTTGATTACATTTGCTTTATAGAAGGTCACACTGCTTACAGCAAAGAAAGCATTCAAATGTAGAATTTTCTTTTTTATATTTTTACTCATTCTGACAATATTTACTAGGCGACTTTATTTACCCATCCACTCACTCATTCACCCATTTATTTAAGTTTATTAGGTTACTAGTCTTTATTCTGTAATGTTCTTTAAGCTTTCTGACCTGTTTGTTTGTTTGTTGTCTCCTTGCCTTTTCCTTCCTTTTGTTTATATTAGTCATTTTTGTCATTGTGTGTGTTTTTTTCTTTCTTTTTTTATTATGTTATGTTAATCACCATACATTACATCATTAGTTTTTGATGTAGTGTTCCATGATTCGTTGTTTGCGTTTAACACCCAGTGCTCCATGCAGAACGTGCCCTCCTTAATACCAGGCTAACCCATCCCCCCACCCCCTCCCCTTTAGAACCCTCAGTTTGTTTTTCAGAGTCCATAGTCTCTCATGGTTCATCTCCCCCTCATGGTGCATTTTTTTATCTCATGATTTTCAAGTTACAAAACTTAGTAGTCATTAATTTTCAATTAAAAAAATATTTGCAGCCCTACTTTTGGTTCCTGTTATGAAAAGAAACTGAACATAGTTTTATCAAATTTTAGGTTCTGTTGAAATAATCTGGCATTTTAATTCAGACAATTTATATCACCCATTTTGCAAAAGCATTAAGCAACAGAGGATCTGTTTGAGGACTTTGAGGTTGACTAACATGCATCCTCAGTCTTTTAAGATTGACATAATACAGAGTAACCATACTTTCTTTAAAAACTATTACTTGGTGCCTCTTTATTTGCTGTGGTAATCCTTCAAGTTTTATCTCCGTGCTCCTTCAAAATTAAAACACTAACAGAAACATGCCAAATTATTATATATGCAGATATTTATTTTAAAAGTGTTATAGAATGAAAGTTTTCACTTTGTTTATTTTTTTACCCCGGAAAAGGTCACCCTTAAAGTAAATGGAGAATATAAAATGTAAGATTTCAGGGGCGCCTGGGTGGCTCAGTCGGTTAAGCGTCTGCCTCCGGCTCAGGTCATGATCCCAGGGTCCTGGGATCGAGCCCCGCATCGGGCTTCCTGCTACGCGTAAAGCCTGCTTCTCCCTCTCCCACTTCCCCTGCTTGTGTTCCCTCTCTCGCTGTGTCTCTGTCAAATAAATAAATAAAATCTTTAAAATTAAAATAAAAAAATAAAATACAAGAAAAAAATAAAATATAAGATTTGACACTTAAAATGTTTTATAGGTATTAATATAACTAGTGAATCTCCAATTGGAAGAAAACTGACCATCCATTCTGAGAAAAGCAATGGTGAGTATGAATATACTCTGAAATGAAGAATGTTCCACATTAAGCTACATTTGATTTTAAATTCAGTTTTTGTGATAACACTTTACTCTGGAGTCGAAATTGTTTAATTATGAATGAGCTATAGGAGAGCTAATTTTTTTTTTTTTTTAATTTATTTGACAGAGACACAGTGAGAGAGGGAACACAAGCAGGGGGAGTGGGAGAGGGAGAAGCAAGCTTCCCGCAGAGCAGGGAGCACGATGCGGGGCTTGATTCCAGGACCCTGGGATCATGACCTGAGCCGAAGGCAGACACTTAACGACTGAGCCACCCAGGCGTCCCATGGAGAGCTAATTTTTAAAAACAATTAGAATAGATATGTCCCTCCATGTTTTAGAAATAGCAGTAGTGTGTGTGTGTGTGTGTTGTTGTTGTTGTTTGAAGCATATGAGTCAATTTCTGGTTTTAGAAAGCGTTTTTCTGAAAATTTGTGAATAATTAGGAAATCTATCCCCAAATAGAGTTGACCCTTGAACAACATGGGGGCTAAGGATACCAGCCCCCTATGCACTCGAAAATCCATATATAATTTTTTACTTCTGCAGAATATAACTGCTAATAACCTACTGTTGACTGGAAGCCTTACTAATAACATAGTCAATTAACATGTATTTTGTTTGTTACATGTACTATGTAGTGTATTCTTACAGTAAGTTAGAAGAATACATTAAGAAGATCCTCAGGAAGAGAAACTACATTTATAGTACTGTACCGTAGTTATTGAAAAACAGGTACATGCAGTTTAAATCCATGTTGTTCAGGGGTCAGCTGTAGAGGCTGGCTTCTTTTCTGATTCCAGTGCCAGCAGTACAACCAGAAGTTAACTCTTACCATTAACAGGTTTATATCAGAGCTGGAAGGTGTAGGAAACTGCTTATTGAAGGGTGGCATGTTTTTAATAGAATGCATAAATGAAATAATTCAATTTGGCTGGAATATCATGGGGAGATGGTTGATTGGGAAGCACATGCTAAATTGCATGTAATATGCTTGCATTGATTTATCCACGTTTGTATTTATTTATCTGCTTGCTTCCAGCTGCTTGTCAGACATTGCTATCTCTTCCTGTGGATTTTAATTTAGAAAATGTATTAGGTAAGTATCGTATTTGTTTAAACCTTTAATAACTTAGATAGAAGGTTTTGTTTTGATGGCTTTTTGTAAATGGAAATAGGTGGCATTGTCTCTTTCTAAAGAAGTAGGAAAACGGTCCTAAAATTTCTTTTTCTATAACTTGGCCTGATGAGCATTTTTGTCATAATGAATTTTGCTTTAGACATAAACTATTCATTGGCACATCTTATTGGTTTTACCTATGCTAATAAGTACTCAAAAAAGAATAATTTCAGATTTCAAACGTCACATATGCAATTAAACTTTGCCCTCTTTTTGAAAAAAATCCTAATATATAGTACATGCTTTTTTTTTTTAATCATGTAACTGAAGCATAATTGCTCTTCAGAATGACTAACTTTGCCTTTTATTCTGTTAATATTAAATATAGGTGACTATTTTAGAGCTGATGAATTTTCAGATCAATCTCCTGGAAACCTCAGTTCTTCATCCCTCAGAAGAAAGCTGTTTTTAGATGGCAATGGAAGTATTTCTGACTCCTTACCTCCAGCTTCTCCTAGAAGTCCTCGCAGTGGTGCTCAAGCCTCAGTTGAGGTTTTTTATTCGATAGATTTATCTCCTGTACGGTGTAGGAGCCCTGTGCAGACACCAAGTTCGGTAAGAAGCGTATGAAAAGTGTACTGTAGTTTGCTAGAGATGGATCTCGAGGCTCATTTTGTCCGCAAGGAATGGTTGCTTTGGGGTTTTATATTTCATGAGGGGTTAGACCAGTTCACATTTTGTCATTAGTCAGGAATGTTTTGGTTAGACTCCATTTTTGTATTTAGAGGTATACAGGATGGCCAGATTAATCATGAGTCTCAAGGACTTTCAGCATAAGTTGTTTTCTGAGCTGTGTAAGGTTTTCAGTTTACCACAGCTGGATTGACATTAATGGAGTAATTTAATTTAAAGTTGTTCATAAACAGCTGCATCTGAGATAGATTGGTGTGTTTAAACACTGCATTTATATTTTATTTTGACTAACATACTCTATTTCAAAATTTTTCCAACAGTCTTCTTAATTGTTCTTGCCTTTTGGTGAATGACCAAAGTTTATATGACCTACTTGGTAAACGTGTTTTGAAGATGAAAATAAATAGCATATGGTATAACAAATTGAGAAAGAGAACCGTATAATTTTATTTATTTTTATCACAGGGGCAGTTTTCTTCCAGCCCTATTCAGGGCAGTGCAAAAAAATACAGCTTGGGAAGTAGAACCAGCCCTTCACCTCTTTCTTCACCCACTTTCTCACCAATTGCATTTCAGATAGGAAAGACTCCACTCTCGGGTATGTCTCATAAGAAAGTACCTAATTTCAATTTCTATATTTACCAACATTTGTTATTAAAGAGTTTCTTTTTTAGCTTGTTCTAACTGTAGAGCTCTAAATGACCCACTAATCTTCTAAAATTTAAAAACTGGCTTTTTAAAACAAAAGGAACAATTTACCTTCAAAACCTGGATTCTTGACAAAGTTCTACACTAGTATTAAACACCGGTCATCTGATAAGCAGTATTTATATCAAGCATTCTTGTAAAGGGAATCAAAGAAAGATGGCGGTTTTAGAGTTAAGTTGGTTTCTGTGTGCCTTCTGACCTGTAGGTTCAGACTTTGTAATCAGATATTCGTATTTTGTAAAGATACGTTTGTTTAAGACTTTTAAGGTAAATTCAGTGTTTGGAAATTTACATATTTCTCTTTGCAGTATGTTAGTTTCTCTGAAATAAAATTTTAACTCCTTTGAAAAAATTACAATAAAAAGCTATGCATAATAAATAAAATCGGAAACCTGAAAACTACTTTTGTTAGTGTTTATGTATGTATATGTACTTTTGCATAAATACATATGTACTTTTGTTTGGAGATAGACACACACACACCGTAGTTCTGTGGTCTGCTTTTTTTACAAAGTATTGTATTATGAATATTTTCATAGGTCATTCAAATCATTTATTATTGTATGAAACAATGATTTTGAGATGTATCATTTGTTTTCAACCATTGATGAACATTTAGATTGTTTCTAATTTATTTTATCAAATAATTATTTTTGTATATAGTACATATTTTAGGTTAAATTCTCAGAAGTGGAATTATTTGGTCAAAGGGGGTGAATGTTTTTAAGGATCTTGATGAATTTTGTCAAATTTTCTTTATAAAAGGTTGTACCAATTGAAATTTTCATCAGTAGTACATAAGAAAGTCAGTTTCTGCCATGTAGAAGCACTGGTATTACCATTCTTTGTGGTGTTTCTTAATTTGTTATATTACAAAGATGTCTCTTACTGCTTTAATTTTTGTATCAAAGATACAAAATGATGGTGTTGAACTCTTTCCAGATATTTATTGGCCCTTTATTTTGGGGGAGGGATTCTTAGTTCGTACTTCACTGTTTTCGTTAAACAAATGCTTTCTTATTGCTTCAACTTCCATATTTTTTATTATTTATGTGGCTGACCGCTTCATATGTTTACTTGCCATTGGGAGGATTGTTTATGGGCTCTTGCCCATTTTTTTAAACTTCTGTTTTTTGTTAAGCCAGTGAAGTTATAAAAAGTATTATATTTTAAAGGACCTTTATCATTTTGATTACCATTGTTAAGCTCTTTGTTATTGCAAATATTATTTTACAATTTTTTGCTTGCTTTTTAACATTGCTTATAGTATTTTGCAAGGTTTTTACCTGCTTCATTTACTGGGTATAACAATTAACTTGCAGCTCTCAGCTGATTTGTCCAGTATCTTCTTCATATATGAACACTATTACTATAGGAGCAATATGTTTATGAGGAAATAATTCTCAGGGAGTAAATTATTTTAATTAAAAGGAAATGCCAGAGGAATTCTTTTTGAAGAGTCTTATGCTGCTTACTGAGACACATTCATTTGTGCTGTTGTTTGTAACACCAAAATTTCACTTCAGTAAACAGTACCATGTTCCAGAAATCCAGTTTTTCTGGCATTAAAACACTTAGTAATGTCTTTTCCATTTGCATGTTTTTATGATGGAATTTTTCCCTTCCAATCTTTTAGAACAAAGGAAGTTTACTTTTCATTCTCCTGATAATTCGGCTGGAACAACAAATTCTAATGGAATTACTAATCCATGTATCAGAAGTCCTTATATAGATGGCTGCTCACCAATTAAGAATTGGTCTCCTATGAGACTCGAGATGTGTACAGGCGGTACTCAGTATCGGACCTCCCTGATTCGGATACCTTTCGCTCTTGAGGCTCACGGGGAAGATGAAGAAGATCCGGTGAATCTTCCTTCCACAGATTCCTTGTCACCAGCCATGGACACGGGTGGAGTACACCTGCGGCAGGTGACCAGTGACACTTCTGCACGTGGCACACGTTTGGTAGTGACTGCCATGTCTATTACACAGAATCAGTCCAGTACTTCTGAGAAAGAATTAGCCCTGTTGCAGGATGTTGAAAGTGAGAAGGAGAACAACACTGTGGATATGGTTGATCCTACAGAAATAGGAGATGAGAACACTTGGATTAAGGAGCCGGTTGATAATGGGAGTTTGCCCATGACTGATTTTGTGAGTGGGATTGCCTTCAGTATTGAAAACTCTCATATATGCATGTCACCTCTTGCAGAAAGCAGTGTCATTCCTTGTGAAAACAGTAACATTCAGGTAAGAAATTTTAATATTCTAGAGTCCTTTACTTTCTCCCTTATTCTGTGTTTTTCTGAGATTATACTAAGAAAATGGTTAATTGTGAAGACTGTAGTATTATATAACTTTATGTGTGTGTATGTGTGTGTGTATATATGATATTTTTTAAAAATATCAATCCATGGTGACACTAAGAGGGTTAGTTTCTTTTAATTGGGACTGATGTTGCGTATTTAATATTCACATTCACTGGTACTTATTTGGAGTAGGGAAAGATGAGAGCAGAAAAGAAATCAAGCTGCTCTGTTTTTATAGAGTGCTAGGGTCAGGCAACTTCTCAGGATTCATCTCTCTCTCATTCATTAATTGTCATAGTCTTTGAGCTGAGAATTTTGAAAGAACTTTAAAATAGTCAGAAAGGCAATTCTTACCTGCCATTTTATAGTAACAACATCTAGCTCTTATGTAGCTCTTACCTTTTTCCAGGCATTATTCTGCGTATTATTCTGAGTAACACTTTACATGTGTTAATTTATTGAATCTTCACAGGGTTATTGTGAAATAGGTGGACTATTATCCCCATTTTACAGATGAGGAAACTGAGGGTCAGAGAGGTTAAGTAAATTACCTCCATTGGTAGCAAGTACTGGTGCCAAGATTTGAATCCTGGCAGTATGGCTTTAGAGTTCACGTTCTTGAATCCGAGTTTGTACTGACTCATGGTAATAGCTAACATGTACACAGGGTTTCAGTGTGTCAGGTGCTTTTTCAGCCACTTTATATGTAGTCATTCATTTAATTCTCCCACCACCCTATAATGTTTTAGTGCTGTCAGTTTTGGAATGCTAAAATTTAAAACTCACAGAGGGTTTCTAAATGACCCAAAATTAAATATAATCCTCTGCTCATGTTTTTATGTCTGTATCGTCTTTTCTGACTTCTAGGATCTTTGTTCAGAAAAAATACACTAGAATCACTTTTATATGTGTTAGCTTCTAAATTTGGTTCCTAAGGGAAAAAGCACTTACATCAAACTTAGCCTTCACGGTATTGTTAACTTCTTTTCCTCTCCTTTTTCCTCACTGCCTTTTTTTTTTTTTTTCCAGACCATTTATAGAAGAATCAAAATGCTTTCATTGAAATACACTTTAATCATCTAACTCAACTACCCATTGGAAGCCTATTTCACTACTAAATTGTCATCCAATCTATGCTTGAGTGTCTGCAGGGGTATTCTAATCCATTTTCGGGCTTCTCTTATCATTACAAGCCTCTTCCTTATATTGAACTAAAATATGGTTGTCTGTGATATCTACCAGTCAGCTTCAGTTTGACCCTTTGGGCCGTATCATAATAATATTTACCTTTGGCAGAGCATTTAATAGTTTAAAAACTTCAGACATTCTTATTTTCCTACCACAAAGGCAGCTTCTAACCACTTGAAGACAGCCATATTTTCCCAGGGCCTTTTTTTTTTTTTTCTTAAAGATTTTATTTATTTATTTGACAGAGAGAGACACAGCGAGAGAGGGCACACAAGCAGGGGGAGTGGGAGAGGGAGAAGCAGGCTTCCCGCAGAGCAGGGAGCCCGGAGCAGGGAGCCTGGAGCGGGGAGCCCGATGCGGGGCTCGATCCCAGGACCCCGGGATCATGACCTGAGCCGAAGGCAGACGCTTAACGACTGAGCCACCCAGGCGCCCCTCTCAGGGCCTTTTGACTTGCTTTATTGTGGACTGGTTGGCTTCCCTGTGTGGTACAAACTGTCATCCCAGAATATCCCTTCAGATTGGGAATTCCCTTCACCTCTCCTATGTTGTTTCCTGTTTTCTGCATTCCATTCTTGTCTTTCCTGGTTTACCTCTCACTTTACTGGAACACATTTTCTGGTAGCTTTGTGAGGAGGAGTACATTTTTAGATACTGCATGTCTAATCATGTATTCTTCATTCTCTCACATGAGAGTTTGGAAATAATTGTCCTTCAGACTTTGAAGGCATTGTTTCATTGATTCTACTTCATTATTGCTGGTGAGAGATCCGAAACCATTTTAATACTTAATCTTTTGTATATGATCTTTTTCTACCCACCCCTGGACATGTATAGGATCTTCTCTTCGTCTACAGTGTTCAGCAATTTCAGTGATTCTTTGGCGTGGGTATCTTTTTGTCCATAGTACTGGGCACTCAGGAGAGCCTTACGATCTGTAAACTCATGCCCTTCCCTTCTTGGATCTTTTTTTGAATAATATCTTGGATTTCTCCTCTCTCCCTTTCATTTTTCTTTCTGGAATTTCCTTTTAATTCTCCAATTTTTAAAAATCTTTCCGCTATATTTTTTATTTCATTTTTGTTTGCGTATCATTAACTTCTAAGGCTTTTTGGGGGTGGAGGGGCTTTGTTTTTACTTTTGGTATTAATTTAAAAATCTGTAGCATGTCTGGCAAGGCATCCAATGGTCTGACCTTTGCCTTACTCATCAGCTTCATTTTGTTTCCCTTCATTCTCTTTGTTTCGGTCACATTAGCTTTCCAGAGTTTTAAATAACCATCTTCCTTCTTGTTAAAAAGAGCCTTTCCACACTCTGCTTAGAATTCCTCTCTCTCCTACTTGACCTGTTAAACTCCTATTTGTTTTTTAGTTCACAACTTAATGATCACATCCTCAAAGGAGCCCTCCCTGATCACACTAGCCAAGCCAGATCTCATCATATGGTTTCATAATTCCATGTACACTTTGCATTATTTCCATTCAGACCATTTATCGAGTAGTCATGAGTGTTTTTGTTTATCCCAGAGCTTATGTGTAATAGCTGCTTGTTAAATATTTGTGGAATGAAAACAATGAATGTATAGGTAAGTTCAACCAGAGGGACTGTATGAAGTGAGAACAGTGAGCCAATCAGTGTTTGGAACCCTGAGGAAAAGTCAAGGGTTTGGTAAAGAAAGGCGATCCCCCAAAGGAAACTGAGAAGGACCAGCCAGAGGGGAGAGAGGGACATGAGGAAAGCATAGTGTCATGGAACATCTTAAGAGTGGTTAGTGCTGTTAAAGTAAAAGCAAGGAATATAGGGCTTGAAAAGTGGCTGTTGAATTAATAACGGAAGTAATTTGGTGAGTGAACAGCCTCAAGGTGGGGTGGTGAAAAGTGAATGGAAGGAGAGTAAAGAAGGTGAAGTCATGAAAAATTATGTGTAGATAACTCTTTGAAGAACCTTTGTTGTGAAGGGGAGGGTTATCATAGCTAGAGAAGAACATTAAAGTCCAAAATCTTTTTGAAGTTTCTTTTTTAACTTTGTTTTTACTTTAGATGGGAGAAACTAGCATATTTTAAGTTGAGAGGGAGAAGAGTAAAAAGAACAAAGAAAATTAGAAATTGAGCAGGATAATTATTAATAATAGGTATCAATTATGTATCCTTTTCACATACCAGAGACCAGGGCAAGTATTTCAGTTAGAATCTAATCCCCATGATGCTTTACAGCAGATGCAATAAATCTAATCTGTAAAATCGTGATGCATTTTATACATGAAGGAACTGAGGTGTGCGAGATGGGATAGAATCTAGAGCTCTGGGAGGAGGATTAGCACAAGTAACCCTTCCACTTTCATGGGGGACAAGGGTGGGGGGCTGGGATGGACGTGGGTACATATATTTGTAGTTGGGAGCTAACATGGCTTTAAGGAGCTTGGGCTTGGGAAAGCAAAGTGGCAGATTTCAGTTTATTTCCTAGCTCAGTTAGTTTTATCAGTTTCAGGAAGTGAGAGCTTCTTTGAGTTTGTTCCCTCTTATTTAAAATGGGGATAATAAGAGGACTGTAGGATAATAGTTTGATCATTGTGAGTTGAGTTCATGTGAGTATACTTACAATGCCTAAATACTCCCTTAGGAATGGGCGACAAAGACTTCTGTGACAGGTAGCAAGCAAGAGGCACAGAGGACAAGGAAGATGAGGGTGGTGAGCGAAGGGCGAAAGTGCTGAGGCCTGATTGCAGGGAATGCATTAGAAGCCACAGTGCTTGCCAGTTGAGAACCTGAACCTGGAATGTTTTTGAAAGACCACATCTGATTTATGTGGGAGAAAAATACAGTAACTGTGTAGGATGATTGGCAATAAAAACACCATTTATAGGTAGCATAGTCCAACTAGAAGAAGATCTACATTGCATTCAGAACTAAACTTGAATTAGAGTTCTGTCATTTACAGGCTGTGGATCTTAAGGCAAGGTCCACTTCACAGTGAGCCGAGCATGACTTTTTAATCTTTTATAGCCCTCTTCCTTCTCAGCTCTAAAATGTTGCTGATGCCAATTTCGATGCCTGTGGGGAATTACGAGATGATCTATATTGTCTGGTTGGTTCCTGGTAGGCATCCCCATTAGTAGTGGTCTACATGAGAGCCAGTGCAGTCAGCCGCCATCTTATGGGGCCGCCCATTGATTCTTCTCTTCCTAAGGAGAAGAATCTTCTCTTCCTGTGTCTTACTCCCTAACGTATTAACTTTTCCCTTGATATATTCAGTTATGCATTACTATTGAGTTGTATAAACCAGTTGTTTGGCACTGGTGATAAAAGGAAAAGTAATTGTCAGATTCTCTGGGAGCAAACTGATAATTCGCTTTTGATCAAATAGCTGTGGAATGGTAACAGAGCCAGGTGTTTCTCCCTGGAACATAATGGAAGATTCTTCTTTTACGTGTCACAAGGGTTTTGTTCAAATAGAACATGACTCCAGTAGTGAATACATACTCATTCTTCCCTGAAAACTGGAAACATTTTTCTGAAGATTATGGTAGAATGCACTTTCTAGGCTATTCTAATGTTTGTGATGGAGACAAAAAGTACAGCCTTTTCCTTCCTCTGACCCTAATTTGCAGGAAAGAGTTTAAGTGCAGGGTGAGTCCCTCACGGGGTTTGGTGTTATTTGGTGCTCAGCACTGTGCAGGTAGATGTAGTGTGTGTCGTGGACAGGGGCGTGGGAGCCTCAGCTCTTCATCACTTCATTCTGTCCAACCCTGTGAAAGGCCACCTTTCTGAACCTCTGCTTCCTCAGCTGTGAAGTCTATAGGATTGCTGTAAGGACAAAGTAAGGATGGTAAGATGGAGAGTGCCAGACAGGCCCGGGCACTTTTTTAGGACCTCAATAAGTATTTATCCTCTATGTACCAAAACTGAAGTTTGCCAGAATCCCTTTTTTCACTTGGGGCTTGCAACAGTACGTCCTAGAGAATGCTACAATTAATTAAAATGAAAAGTTGAACTAACATCTAGAGCCATTATATATGTGGTATTATTATGAAAGTAAGTTTGTATTTCAACAATGGGTGTGAGTATAATGTAACTGACCTTTTAAAAAATGTGAATTATCTTGAATACTCTTAAAGATAGCATGCCTTTTAGGTAAATCCTACTTAGAGATAAAACCAAGCTATTCAGAGACAAGCTTGGTAAAGCTTGAATTGAAGAAGTTGATTATATAATCCTCACTTTTATCTGCTGGGTGTGATCACACAGTAACAGAAAAGCAGGTTCATAGTGCCTTGTTCAGATTCTAAAGGAAACTACAAGATGTATTTTATCAAAAGGAATGGTGTAATACAGTGACTACTTTGAAGAACAACCAGTTCTATATAGAACTACCTCTTATATTTCTGTATTTTAAATTTAATTCAGTATGATCAATATTAAATAATACATTGTATGGTTCACTTGTGAATCGTAGTATATAGGAGTGCCTGGGTGGCTTAGTCGTTAAGCGTCTGCCTTTGGCTCAGGTCATGGTCCCAGGGTCCTGGGATCGAGACCCACATCGGGCTCCCTCCTCGGGGGGAAGCCTGCTTCTCCCTCTCCCACTCCCCCTGCTTGTGTTCCCGCTCTCACTGTGTCTCTGTCAAGTAAGTAAATAAAATCTTTAAAAAAAAAAATAGTAGTATATAGTGACTCACTTACTTTATATTTATATATGTTGTATATTTTATAGGAATATATAATTTCAGAAATATTTTATATAAATATTTTTAATTTTACTTAAACATCAAAGTTCCTCAAATTTTGTGGATAAGTGAATCCATTTGCAATGTTATCCTTGGTGTTTTTTTTCATCCTTCCTGTCAGATGGATAGTGGCTATAACACACAGAATTGTGGAAGCAATATTATGGATACTGTTGGAGCAGATAGTGATGCACAAACCTTGGAACTTGAGAATAAATCTCAAGTTTTTAATACAAAGGTATGGAAAAAACAGAGAAAGCTTGATATGGTTGTCTAAGTATTTATTTAATATGACTTTTTTCAGGGGCACCTGGATGGCTCAGTTGGTAGAGCATGTGACTTGATCTCAGGGTTGTGCGTTCGAGCCCCACCTGGGGTGTAAAGATTACTTAAGATCTTTAAAAAATTTTTTTTCCAGTATTTTTTCCACCCATTTTGCTTAAAATTTTGTTAATTATGTTTATGCCTCATCCTGTTTTCAGTTCATTTAACAGCAGAAGGTGGTTTTTAAATCAAAACACTTCATTTTCCTAAATAACTCTTTGGCTATGGGACCGGTTAAGAGGCTGGAGAGGGAGAGCTAGTCCTACTTTGGAATAGGCACCTGAACTCCTTTCCTTACAACTAAAGGGGAATAGGAATAGGGGTGCCACGACCGTTTTTTTGCCCCTAACATTGTTTCAAAATTGAAGTTAAAGAATTTTAATTATTAGGAAAATGATATAACTGAGAGACCACACATCAAAGTAAGAACTCTCAAAGGTAAGGGCTCTTTTCTTAAAATCCAAAAGCCTTTTAAGACTATGAATAACATACCTTACCTACTAAGTATTTGTAGAGGTATACTTTTGACTAGGACATTTACTGTACCTTCTGTAGGATGGTTATAACTATATGCATATTTGAGGAAAACCGGTCATAATTTTAGGCAGTAATCAGGAGAATCTTTGATTTTTATATGCCAATTTGTTCATAAACACAACAGCAGCAAGTGTACAACTGAACAGAACTCTCTCCAGGTGAATATTAAGATATAATATGGAGGCCACCTTAATTTCCCTTTCCTCCATTTTGTTGAGGTGGGATTATAGTTGTTCATGTAAAAGTAAGCAAGCATTACGGTATAGGAAAAGGACTTTTTGATGCAGAATATTGATTTATAGAAAACCCTATCTTCACTGTCCCTGTAGAATTCATAAGGAAATCTGCATTCAGGTTTTAAAACATGGTAGCTACACCCTTGAATAGTCCTATTCAAGCAGCAAATAAGGTATTTTCTTTTTTTTTTACCCCACAGGAAGACCGTGTAACACAGAGGTGTTGAATGAAAGCAGCAACTCCTCCTCAAGGCAGCAGTCTATAGAATACCTCTCAGAACCAAAGACCAGTGGCTCCTCACATGATTTTTTATGCACAGGATCAATAATGTGATCGTGATTGGGAAAAAGTTGCTTCAACTAACATGCTTAGCTTTTTTTCTTTCCTCCCTTAATGTGAAAAATCAAGGGCTTAATTTAGTGACATGGCAACAACAGAAAAGCTCCTAGAACTTTCAACTCATCGAAGTACAACTGTATTTTTTATTAATAAATATTTTTGTACTTACCTGGATTGATGTGTTTAACAATAACAGGTTTGAGAACAAGGACTTTGCTCTGTCCCACAGGGTCAGTGAACTGCCTGTTAGTAAACCTTATCAACAGCACTGAATTTAGCAGTAGTTTTAAGAATATGTGGAATTGTGAGGGTACTATTTTATTTTACATAAAAACGTGACTATACAGATGAATTTACATTTATAACCTTTGTGAAAGAAATCTTAGATATAAAACATTAAAGAGGTAGGAAGGAGATTAAGCAGGTTTCCAGAATTTTTCATTGATTCGTTCATTTCTGTGTACAAATTCTTAGTTCCGATGGTAACTGTTCTAATTACTACTTTAAAAAATGTAAATACTAGAAAAGTAGTACTAACAGCATCTTAATATCACATATTATTAGTGGGGTAAGTATGGGATGCCCAGGATATATCTCCACCCCTAGGGTAGGGACACCCTTTTCCAGCTCAAATTTGGCTGGGGAGAGGAATAAGAACCTGGGAGAACTAAGAAAAACAGTGGGGACCAGGCGACGGAGTGTCTGTAGGGCTAAATTTAGGCCTTTTATGAAGTTATGGTTGGGCAGACACAAAACTAGTTTTTTAAAATGTTTATGTTCATGTTGGGAGTAGAAGTGATATATACATTTTTTAGAAATATTCTTTACCTCTGGAGAATACATATTCATATTTACAAACCACCTTTTAAAAATCTCCTTCAAAAGAGAGGAATAATTCATATGCAGCCCTAGGAAATAATAATGTACTATCATTGTGTCATTTTCTTCCTTTTTTGCACCCTATAACTTTACTGCTAATCTGTAAAGACCTTTTCTTCCTGTGTACCTGACTCATCGTCTCCCCCAGCACACTAACCATTAAAGCTGTTAGTCACTAGGTCCACTGCTAAAGACACTCCATTACGAAGTTGAGTCCCTAATCACACAGGCTTTAGGATCAATATAAACTTAAGTAACTGCTGTGCTATAAGAGGAATTCTAGTTCCTAAAGGTAAGAGCGTCCCTGGCTATGTCTTTTTGATAGCACAAGTCAAGAAACAAGAAAGTAGTGATTATAGTTTGGATTTAAATCCATCCTGTCACTTACTACTTGATCTGGGCCATAAAACCTTAATCTTCTCATCTAGTAAATGGGTGGGGGTGGAGAGAGTCTTACCCAACAGGGTTTTTTGAGTGTAGTATTCCATGTACGCTGCTTAGCATAAAAACTGGCTTTAGAAGCATTTTAGATTACTGAGACTGAGGCTTTGGGTAAAAATAAGGATTCTGGTCATCTTGACCTACCCAATAAGGACTAATGCCTGAATTAGACCTTCCTCATAAATGAGACCCAAGAAAACAAACATGGAAAGATAGAAGGTTAGCCACTGCCTTGTTTAACCAAGAAACCTCCCTTTCCTTCTGTTGCAAGTAAACTCTGGGCTGTCAGCAAAGGATTTTTAAATGGTGGGGAGGTGGAAATCAAACGGGTTTTGTGACACATCAAAGTTCTCAAATTTGAATTTTCGTTGGAATGGAGCCATGCTTGCTTCCATCCTGTCTGTGGCTGCTTTCACGCTGTACAAGGAGAGTTGAGTACTACGGTTGTAACCGAGACTGCTGAGTCTAACACGGCTGGTCCTTCACAGAAAAGGCTTGCTGACGCTTGCTCTGGGGCGTGGTAGGCTGTTACTTGGTCCCAAGATCACTCAAAGTTATCTTCGTTCAACTGAAACAAGTTCTGCCTCAAGATATGGATGTTTTCCTCAGTAGTAGGAGACTGGAACAATCACTTAACCTCTGAGGGCCTAAATGACTGGACACATGACCTGTTGATTTATTTGCTGGTCCTTTCTCACTGGATTGCAAGCTCCTTCAAGGCAGAGATAGTTTACTTGACTCCGTGATGAGCCTGGTACATTGCAAGTACTTTAGAAAATGAATAAGCAAAGTAAAATGTTGTAACTATCTCAAAATATTCTTAAAAAACACTTATTAATAATTACTAATCTTTGTGATGAACAAGGCATACCAAATCATAATATTTACTTCAATCTGTTCCCCTTAATATATCCTTACACAATCCCCCCTTTCCTACAAAACCTGATAGATACACAGTTTAAAAGCTGTCCATGACCTACTTTTTATAAATAACATAATGCAGACGTTTAAAAAAGTGCCATCTCTATTTGCTCTTTGAGCCTTAATGCCTTATTTTGGAGGAGATGTGAGCTTAAAGATCAAGGATGATGATAATCATACTTATTATCTGGTATTAAAAACAACTTATTCTAGTCAGCTCAAATATCCTTCTTCTTGCCTTCCTACAACATTTAATTCCCGAACACAGCTGTTCAAGGACCACTAATAAAAAATGCAGGAAGCTTTTAACAGTTAGGGAACACTTCATACAAATTAGGTAAATTAAAGATGGCAAAGGACTGAATATTCCTTGACAAATCTTGATGTCATTGTCTTGAAATCTAAAAACTACCATATCAAACATGGACAGCTTTCAAGTTAGGAAGAACACATTGTTCCTGACTTCTAAAAATGTTCTGTTTTCCTCCACAGGAAAATGATAGTTTTTTTCTATCAATATTAAATAATCAAATTACTTAATCTGTTCTTTAGTGAGTAGATGAATGCTCCACTTAAACGGTCTTTACAGATCCCTGAGGTTGCTATCTTGTCACCATTTAAGTGATGGATGCTCAATTGAATTTTTATGCATAATTAGTTCAGTTCAATCTAGAAATGAAGTACCATGATGGGACAGACACAGTCAACAAACAGTTCAATAAAAATGCAAATTTTTAAAACCATTACAATGTATTTAAAAGTAACAAACTGTATCACACACATCCTAGGTTTAAAAGTATTCTCTCAAGGTTTTTTGTTTTGGGTTGGTTTTTTTTTTTTTTTTTTGGTTTTGTTTTTTTAAGGAAACCAGTCTTCCAAGTTTCTTTGTTGACTGTAGCTATTTCTCACATTTCTTCTTCTTTCTCTCTGGTTCATCAATGTCCATGTTTGGGGTATCAGCCGAAATGCTTATTCCTCGTATCTAAAGTAATGCAAACGGAAAGATAAGGTGAGTAAAGCATAAAATAAAGAATAAATCTCAGGGCGCCTGGGTGGCTTAGTTGGTTAAGTGACTGCCTTCGGCTCAGGTCATGATCCTGGAGTCCCTGGATGGAGTCCTGCATCAGGCTCCCTGCTCGGCAGGGGGTCTGCTTCTCCCTCTGCCCTCTTCCCTCTTGTGCTCTCTGTCTCTCATTCTCTCTCTCTCTCAAATAAATAAATAAAATCTTTAAAAAAAAAAAAAAAAAGAAGAAATCTCATTCTCATCTTCTCCGTCCCCACTGACACTTTCAAGTTTAAAAAGATGTCAAGGGAGAGAAGGGGAAAGGAGGTTAGTAAAGGTCTTCCACACAAAGTATACATACTTCACACATAAGGAGTGGTTCAAAAATGTAAAAGACAGACATAGTCTCGATGGGTGGGAAGCATGTCATTTGGAAAGTGTGGTTTAACTAGAACACGTCCAGTTTAACCTAGCAGAGCCACTGTGACCGTCAGCATCAGGGGCCTCGGTGTGTTGGGGCAGAAGGTTAAGAACTAGTATCTTAGGGTGAAACATACTTAATCTTTAAAAGTGCAGATTTCAAAACTGATAAAAGTGAAAAGGGACCAGGGAGGAGATCTCAGATAGCTCTCTGCCTGTACTGAGGACGTTTTCCAAAAAATCCCAAATGTCTGGGATCCCACAGCCTAGGGAAATTGGTGAGAAAACAATTTGCTATGCAAATATCTGGCTCCCACACTACATACGAGATTTCTCCATTCTTGAACAGAAATAACTTATATCCTTCTCTTTCACACAATATATACTTTTTTATACCATTGCAACATGGACAGTGAAGTTTGGTCTTACCTGTGGTTCTACCAGGGACATTCGGATTTTCTGATGCTGAAGATTAGATGAGTCTAGCATGATTTTCACTTTAACTTTATCAAATATATGAAACACTGTATCCTCTATTTTAAGGGAAGGTATCTAAACAAAACACATTTTACAATTTTAAATTGCTGTCTTATCTTGAGGTTTCACATTAATTTAAAAGTAAGTTTAAAAGATTATTTACATATTTAATAAGCATCTAGGTGTGCAATATTACAAAAACCATTTACCTAGTAACTTCACTAATACATGACCTATTTATGTGTATACTTCCCCCTTTCAGTAAGATGGTCCCAATATATATGTTCATTAATCTCAAGATTCTCACCCCATTAATTAGCAAATTGTTGGTCTACCAGAGGAAAAGGTACTGTGGGCAAAGTATGCTGTTTTGTAGTTCTATTAAAGTTAGGGAAGTAGAGATTGTGTTAGAAAAGAAACATTGGAAACAGGCTTAAAAAATTCCTCTGTCTGAGCTCTAAGCAGCCATTTATTCCTTTACTTTCATGCATCTGTCCAATTGTGCAAAGCATAATTCAAGTTTTTCTTAGAGGAGGAAACTACATGGTGTAAAACAAATCAAGGACAACATCTGTATGTGGGATGATACACTGAAGTGAGAAATTATGAACAGAATAAGCTTATTAGTCTGCGCAATTAAGTTCTGTAGGATACAAAAAATAATTTTATCCTTTCTAGGTACCCTCAAAGAAAAAGTACCCACTCCAAAAAAAACCCCAAATAAAACCATTAAAAATACTGTACCTCGTCATCATAAATAAGCCTTGGCTTTGGTTTGTCCTTTTCTTCAAAAAAGACGGTACCTTCTAAACCATACTTTGGAATTAACACCACAATAGCATTCTTTCTTACAAATAGAATATAGGCTTCTTCACTTACTATTCCTTTGCTTTTGAAAAACAACTGTAAAATAACATATAGCCTTATCAAGGACTGTCTTACAATATTTTTGAAATTAACAAAAAGTATTTTGAAATTAAATTGAAGGTGAACAAAACGTCATCTCCCCTAATATTACTGACAGAAGGCAAATACCTGGGTATGAAAAGCCACTGATGCACGTTGGGCATACTGAGCCATTTTGTGCCGCAAGTTGAGATTTTTACATAAATCTGCAAGCTTGTGTTTGTCTGTCAACTCTGGATAAGTACAGTCAGCCCCAATAGCCACAGCCAACAACCGATGGACGATGACGTCTGCATATCTAGATACATGAAGGAGAAATAACAATCATGCTATGTTAGCATTAAAATAGCTTTTTACAATTCAAAATTAACTATTTTCTATCTCCTATAATTTTATAAGGAAAAAATACCTTCTGATGGGTGAAGTAAAATGTGTGTATATTGGCGATGCTAAGCCGTAGTGATGAAAATCATTATCCATTCCAGAGCAGAAGTACACAGCCTGCATCATACAGCGAGTGGCTAAGATCCTTAAGAGAGTGTTGAGATATGGAAAAGTCGCAGAATCTGCCCGGTCCAAAGAGTCAGCCAAGGACTTGGCTGTATCAGTTTTAATTTCCAAATTCTGAGAGTAAAGAAGAGGGGAAAAAGCACCCTATTAAACATTTTAAAATCAGTACCATGGTGTCTTCAAAATACAACAAAATCAAACAGAACAAATATGGTGTTTTTGACCAGGTAATAAGTATTTACATCTTTTGTCCTTAACCTAGGAGAACTAAAAACAGCTTATAAAAAGTCATGATTGTTTTGTGCAACATCAAAGCTTAATATTTTCTGAATGCGTCTAAAGGTACTGAAGTATCAACAGTCTGAAGAAGTTTCAAAGGGAAAAGGATGGTGGTGGCTGTAGTGCGATTCTCAAAGTCCAATTTGTGCTTGCCTGTTCTTTGTTGGGGTAGGAAAAAAAAATCGAAGCAGATCTGGTTTCTTTCTAGCATGTCTGGTTTTCCTCTGCAGATATTTCTTTACCTTCCATTCAAGGTAGAAGTAAAGGCCAGAGACAAAATAAAACTGTATTGGTCACTACAACTCAATATGCTGATACATCAAACTGCTGTGTTCTATTTTGGGAGATGAGGCAAAGATACTTAGATCCTCCTTGCTCTACCCAGGTCTTAAGGAAGAAATAAGATAGTAGGAGAAAATTCTCCAATTTACAGCGTAAGCCTTAAAGCAGAGGAGAAGTTGATTCTGTTCTGATGGATAGGGGTAGGAGGCCCACCATAAAGATCTGAAAAATCAGAAACCAACATCATTCTGTTAGAATAATACCCTGAGACCCCACACTACTTCCAGCTCCTCATCTGGACAGGAGAGATGGGACCTGAACAAGTGATCCAAAGAAAACCAATGTAAGCCACAGTCACCACGAGGGTAAGGGTAATTATGCCTAAATGAGGGGGAGGATACGGTAGCCTTCCTATGTTTTTCCTTTTCCCCAGTGTATGCAATAAATGGACTTCTTTCTTAGGGACATGATATAAAGAGGGCTTAACTGAGTAAAAGATAAGAGGGAAAACAATTATTTCTAAGTCTCTCAAGTTAGGCAGTTCAGAGGAGGCATGAAATAATACAGGCATAAAGAACACGTATAAAGGCAAAGAGATATGGAAGAGCTTCATATGTTTAGGATACTGCAAATAACTTAGTGAGGAACTTCTGGCTGTAGCACAGGGTGCTCTCTAAAGACATTAAAGGATTTTATTCAGCAAATGATTTTAATGGCTGTATCCAAGTTAGATGATTTTTTTTTTCTTAATCAAAAGTACCACTAGCATATTTTTGCATCAGAAAACAATGGAAACTTTCATGCAGACGCAAATATAGATTGTTTAGTACAATGGACAGATCACAACTCAAATACAGATGATTTTGCAAACTATGCGACCTTACCTTGGATTTAGCTGCCTTAACCAGAATTTCGTAATTTGACGGAGGGGGAGCTGGGTGTTTTCGAAGCAAGGCGTGTTCTGAAAATTCTTCATGAATTTTTTTTGCAACAGAGATATTGGCCAGTAACATAAATTCTTCCACCATGGAATTTGTTTCCCTGCCAATGGAGAAATCATTAAATAAAGAAAAAGATTCTGAGACTTTTATAGATCACATTTATTCCCAGGCTACCTTTTCTACCAACGAAACAATAAAAGTATTTCCTACGTAAACATCTGTATGCGTGTGTGCACACGTATATTTTTCATAATCTAACACTCATTTCTCAGCTGCTACGCTGACAATCTCTTACTATGCATCTACTGCATGAGTAAATCTCATGCGAGAGACTTTTAAATTGCATTTAAATAATAGAACCTTTACTAACTCTAATAATACATAAAATCTAAACCAAAAGAATTTTCACCTTTTATTAAATCTAAAGAGATTTTTACTTAACTATAAATCCATAAAAATAAAGTTTACTAATAAGAGTGAAAAGCTATTTAGGTCATACAAATTTGGGCTTAAAAAATTAAAATTTTCACCAATAAATCACCAAAATGAAGAAATTATATTTGCAATAGCTATCCTGGGTATTTATTATTGGCCTGGCATTGCACTATGCTGTAAAATACTGATCTATCTGTATCCATATAGAGAGAGATATATGCTAGTCCTGTTTTGCAGATGAGAAAACTAAGAATGTGTAACATTATTCTCTTGCTCAAAGTTGGAGTTAGTAGTAACAAGACCCAAGCCCACATAACTGACTTCAAAACTCTTAACCAATTTGATATTGCTCTTTATTCTCTATAGTCTATGTATGTCTATTTAAAACTTAGGTTAGTAAATGATCTGTATTCTGTTGTAAACTGTACTTTCTTTTTCCCAAGTCACTGAATGGGCATTATATTAATCTTTAATTCAAGTTTCATTCATCTTATAAACTTCTTGACTAGATTCCTAAAGTATATTAACTTTTTAAATATTAGTAAGACCTCCAATCATACCTTTAAGACTAAAGACAATCTCTTAGAAATGTGTTGTCTTCTTCTTGGTAAGAAGGGGCAATGTTCTACTTTGACAAAGTTAGATTCGACATTTTCCTCAAAAAACCTCTTCGTATTAGGCTCACTGTTCACATTAGCATTAGTTTTATTTATATAAAAGTTCTCCCAAAAGTATTTTTTAATTTTAGCTTTAATAGCTCTACTATAAAGCACACACTGGTCCTAACTAAGAAATTTGAGTATATTCTCATTTTTAACCCTTGGTCACCTACTAAGAAAAGTGTAAATGCACATTCATTTTAGAATTACCTTATAAAAGGCATGGAAAAGAGGCCTAACTGATTTAACCAAAAACAGCCCTGCTTCCTAAATCTCAACCAAATCAATACAATGGTAACAACAATAACATCTGAGCACTCTTCACAACACCCAGTGACGTAGGTACTGTTATCAGTCCTATTTTACCAACAAACAAACTGAGGTATAAAAAAAGTCAAATTACTTGTCTGGAGTTATTGGAAACATGATTCAAACCGAGGCAGTCTGGCTTTAAAGCACAAGGTCTTGTACATATTTGTACAATACGCTCTTCTACATTAAATACTTAAGAAATTAACCAGGGCAATCTCTTACTTACCACAACTATTACTAGTCAAGTTCTAATACACCACACATCAAGACCAATTCAAATTGGAAATTCTTCTATTATAATACTTATCTCAGTTTTATGTAAGAAAAACTAAAAAACAAAATCACATTTACTGCTCTCTGTATATCCTAACTCAAAAAGATCTACAGACACCATAACCCTATTAGAAATAGGTATTTGGGGTACAAATATGTTTTGTTTATTAATATATATACTAGATATTACATTTAAAATAAAAATCCTATCTATGGCCCAGCAAAAATTTACATACCTAAGTTCTTTGGTCTGCAGATCTATAGGATCATGAGTTTCACTGTCCATGTGGAATCGAACTTCTGGAGAAGAAAGAGTCAAAGCCCTGAATAAAAATTAAAGATGTAAATTTAGTGAAGTGAGCCAATAACAGGTATCATTCTGGAAGTGATGCTTTTAAAAGAGAAAATGATGATAGCAAGTGAGTAATAGTTTTTCTTCTAAAGGCTTTAAGACCATCTGCTAAGTTTTATGTTCTATTTTCATTGACAGCTTTGCATCTTACACATCTAAAATGCATTTAAAAAGAGAGGACAACAGGGGTGCCTGGGTGGCTCAGTCAGTTAAGTGTCTGCCTTCAGCTCAGGTCATGATCCCAAGGTCCTGGGATCAAGCCTTGCGTCAGGCTCCCTGTTTAGCGGGGAGCATGCTTCTCCTTCTCCCTCTGCCTCTCCCCTCCGCTTGTGCTCTCTCTCTCTCTCAAATAAATAAAATCTTTAAAAAAAAAAAAAAGAGAGGGGCGCCTGGGTGGCTCAGTCGTTAAGCGTCTGCCTTCGGCTCAGGTCATGATTCCAGGGTCCTGGGATAGAGCCCCGCATCGGGCTCCCTGCTCGGCGGGAAGCCTGCTTCTCCTTCTCCCACTCCCCCTGCTTGTGTTCCCTCTCTCGCTGTGTCTCTCTCTGTCAAATAAATAAAAAAATCTTAAAAAAATAAATAAATAAAAATTTTAAAAAAGAGAGAGAGAGAGGGGACACAACAGTAACACAACAAAATATGAGTCCTTGTGCCTCTGAGATTTTGAGTATGTTCTGTAGCCACACTGATTTTTTACTGAACTACATGGGTTTGTAATCACTTTTATAAATAAAGAAGGTAACTTGGCAGAATTTTATTTATTACAGAAAACAATGTATTGGGGTGAGGGATGATGGAGAGAGAGGCAAAAGGGAAGCTGCCACACATAGATAAGTACCATCAGAAGATCCACAGTTCAAAAGTACGTCCACATTCGCTGAGCCAGCGAAGAGACTGATAAACTACCACCCTGATATGTACACATACTGAGGCTACTGATACGGAATGCTACGTGTCAGATAACATATTACACTAAATGCTTTACAGGAATGGTTCACTTAATGAGTTCCCAAGTTCTCCTGTGAAAAGTAAATTCCAACAAGGTGAGTCAGGTTTCTTCACAGCTCCATGCTATTTCCATCAGGTTAGCTTCAAACCAACTTAAAGAATTTTAATGAAGTTGGGTAACCCTAAACAATTATGGAGAAGGGGGGAAAGTGGAGAAAAAAAAGATGAGATGGTGCAAGCTAATTCTTCACCTTTTCCCTCAATTCTTCAGCTCTATTAGAAGAACTACCAAAGGAATACTAGACAGAGAATCTTGACAAATATTCCTTTCTTGCCATGCAGTCTTTGCAAGATTCTACACTAGATTTAGTCTGTTTATCAATACATTTGACCTAAAAAGCAAGGTATAGTAATCACATTTTGATTTTTTTCTTCATAAAACACTTAAAATGTTATGGATAACATTTTAATCCATAATATTTATCCTTTAGGATAGACATAAACATAAAACAGAACATATCCTTTAAGAAGAAAATACCAATTTTTTTTTACTGATTGTTTTTTCAATTTTCACCTACAGCTGAGAAGACTCAATGACCTGTCCTTACCAGTACACGACTATCTAGTTACAAAATTAAAAGTAGAGACAGTTTTTGAAGTTAAAAATTATCTTTCCCTTACTAATCAGGAGAGGCTAGTTACTAATGCAAATTTCTCTTACCATTTAAAACTACCAAAATAAATATGTTTTCAATTTGCATTTTATTCATTTTGCTTTTAAAGCAAACTTTCTAAAAATATCTTCCACAAACTTTCTTCTGATGTCTTGCATACTGTAAACCTTATGAACAAACACTTGCTGAAAAATGTGTTGTTTTGTGTCCTTTTTAGTTTCTTTGGGTTTAATGCATCCAAATTATCCTTACAGAGCTGCAAGTTTTATATTTAGGGTCACACTGAATATTCCCAGAAAACTGACCTGTGAGTAGAGATAAAAATGGCTCAGCATAACCACCTGGAAGAACGCGGTCCAGTGGAACTTTCTGCAGCGATGGAAATGTTCTCTATCTCTACACTGTCCGATATGGTAGTCACTAGCCGTAAGTGGCTACTGAGCATTTGAAATGTGGCTAGTGTGACTCAGGAACTAAATTCTTTATTTTCTTTCATTTTAATGTGCTCTTTCAGAAGGCACATCTTCTGAAAGAGCACAGATTTAGAGTTTGTACTCCCCAACAAAAGCACTTTTAGTAACCACCTGTGACCCTACCCTGGATGGGCATGGGAACCCAAAACCAACATCTGAAAGGTTCATGTACTTGCTTTACTCTGATGGTTGATGATGTCTTTTAAAAATCAAATTTCTTTTAACTACTTTACTTCAACAAGTTTGGGGACTTGGATATTCCTTATCTTATACTATTGTAGCTAGGCAAATCCCATGATATAATAGCTAAAAGACACACATCTGCTACTAGCTATCAGATCTTTGGGCAGACTGCTTCTGTGTAAGTTTGAATCATTTAAAAAATGAAGGTGTCTCAAATCACTTCAAACTCTCAAGTGGAAGAAGAAGTTCGTCTCGGGCGCCTGGGTGGCTCAGTCGTTAAGCGTCTGCCTTCGGCTCAGGTCATGATCCCGGGGTCCTGGGATCGAGTCCCACATCGGGCTCCTTGCTCAGCACAGAGCCTGCCTCTCCCTCTGCCTGCCTGCCACTCCCCCTGCTAATGCTCTCTCTCTCTCTCACTCCCTCTGTGTCAAATAAATAAATAAAATCTTTAAAAAAAAAGAAGTTCGTCTACATTTATTAAATGTCTAAAAACCAATGTTCAACATTCTAACTAAAATTAGAAACAATCCATAGAAAAGTCTTAAGGAGCTCTTGCCTCCCTTGGAAATTTTCTCTAAGATCTTTAACTCCTTAGCATAATAAATTACAAAGACAGAGCTAGAAGAAAAAGAATGTCTCTGCCTGACTTTCTATTCAACTCGTTAAATAATCTGTCATTGTCCAGGATAAAACACTTTGAAGAGTTCACAGGTTATCTTATTACCACAATAAAGACACTTCTTAATAAATATTTTTGAAATATACCCTTTTTCGATTCTTCTTTTTTTCAAAATTTTAGCTAGTTTATTTAGTCCACGGAGACTAGTGGTAATATCATCATTCATGGCTGCAGAATCAATTCTCATCTGAGCTTCAGCATATGTAAGGGAAGCCTAAAAGGAAAATGGTATGTTAATATAATTCTTATAAAAACTGGTTTATAGGGCACCTGGGTGGCTCAGTCGGTTAAGTGGCCCACTCTTGATTTCGGCTCAGGTCATTATCTTAGGGTTGTAAGCTCAAGCCCTACATGGGACTCCATGCTAGGTGTGGAGCCTGCCTAAGATTCTCTCTTTCCCTCTCTCTTTGTCCCTCCCTGCCCCCCACTCTTGCGCTCTTTAAAAAAAATTAAAAATTTAAAAAAATTCTAAAAAATGTAAAAAAAAACTGGTTTAGTGTAATTTCATATTTGCAGTACATAAAATCTATGATTTTGGAAAACCTAAAATCAATAAGAAGAGAGAGAGTCCTAGCTATAATATTTATACTGCAGACCTATGGTTTTTGGTTCATTAATTTGTATCTCATGCATTACACAACATAAGCAAACTTACGTTAAAACAAAACAAAATGGGGGTGCCTGGGTGGCTCAGTCTGTTGTACATCTACCTCTTGGTTTGGGCTCAGATTATGATCTCAGGGTCATGGGATGTGGCTCTGCACTCAGCAGGGAGTCTGCTTGGGATTCTCTCTCTCCGTCTCCCTCTGCTTCTCCCCCCCCTTCACACTCTCCCTCTAAAAGTAAATGAATCTTTTAAAACAAAACAAAATGATAGCATTTGTTGGTAAATAAATTGCTTAAACTTTACTTTCATAGTTAACAAATAAATACTTAGGTACACTAAAATAAAAAGGAAAGTCATATTATTCTGTGACAGTGACTGTAAGGTGAAATCCTCTCCAGATGATCACTACTTCCTTACTCAACGACAAATAATTAAGAATACTGTAATAGCCTAGACATCATGTTTTACAGAAAAAACTATGAAATATCCTAAATTAAGTATCTAAAAATGAGACCAATCACAGTAAAAAAAAATCCCAAGTAATTTCCAGTTATAATCCAAATATACAAATAGTGCTTCTGTTCCCATTTCACACCTTATGGAAAACTACCATTTTTTAGCTTATCAAAAAAAAAAAGTAGGGGCGCCTAGGTGGTACAGCTGGTTAAGCGTCAGGTTTCGGCTCAGGTCGTGATCTCCGGGTTGTGAGCTCAAGCCCCTTGTCCAACTCTGTGCTCAGCACTGAGTCTGCTTGAGACTCTCTCTCCTTCTGCCCTCCCCCTTGCACTCTCTATCTGAAATAAATAAATAAATCTTAAAAGAAAAAAAAAAGTAGCTTCCCAAGTAAAAATCAGGAATAGCGTAAGAGGGTTAGATGATGCAGGAGGCCAGGTCAGATTCTTAGGAGAGCCAAGTTATCTACTAGGGACTAAGAGGTCCCCTTCTAAAAATGTTTTCTGTTTTATGTGCACTGAACTTTTTTTCATATACCTTTGTTACACTGACCAAGTCTGGGAGAAAAATAAACTCATCCTTTTTAAAAATACAAATCGAGGAAGGCTTAAATCATTCAGACATCACTATCTGTCAGTCCAACACTGCTTTCCTTTCCAACTACTAGTTCATCCAAAACTGTTGAAAGCAACTAGATGATGGCAAATATCAGAGAAAGACCAAGGGCAAAGTGAGAACATAATGGAATCTGGGCAGATTTCCAAAAAAGAGAATGATGAGAACGTTAGCCTAGTTCCATTCTCTCTGACCTGAGACCTCAGGCTAGTTCTGCTGAAATCCAAGGAAAATTTATGACATCATTTCTCTGAAAATTTGTGAGTATCACAAGATGGTATACATGCTAACTTTGAAAATACTGACCAGTTTATACATTGGAACAATTTCAAATAGTAGCGTTCCTGAATTAGGGCAAAAAGTCATCTACTTAGTCTTCTCAAGTATCCAGGCTTTGTGAGTTTCTGAATACAAGGCAACCGCATCAAAAATTAAGCAGATAACTGGAAAAAACTAGATCTTGCTACAACATTTGGGAAAAATTTAATTTAGTAAACCTGACTTTTTCAAAACCATCTAGTAACACTGTTAAAAGTACCAAAGATTTTAAACATTTAATATTAACCATGAAACCAACCTTTGAATTAATGGCACTTTTGGTAAACCTCACTTTTAAGATTTCAGCATTGTGATTCATTTCCCAAATACATGAAAATGCCAACCTATGGGGGAAAGTAGACAGTGTTTGTTAGTGGGAATCCGTTAAAATAGTAGATACTATGCTCTTATGAAAAAACATGCATAAATACCTGTCAACATTACATCTTAAGGAACATAAATTAGAGCTAAGCAACTCTGGAACCATGTCAATCCTCTGGAATAGAAAAAAATAGAGGGGCAGATTACTTAACCATACCCATACATTTATTTGACCTTTCATTCTCAATAGTATTAATTTAACAAGGGGGAAACAGGTCTTTGTGAACAGAACTGAGAAAATAAGAAGTCAGTCTATTTCTAGAAAAGTATTTCCACACAACTGTTACAAGCAGGACACAACGAGAGGAAACCGGACTTCATGTCGGTGAACCTAAGCGTGCGTCCTCTCCACAGCCACCAAGCTGTCCTCCAAGTCTGCAACCTCTGCCCTATATAATCAGTTTGTACTGGGTGACAGACATAAGCCTTAACAGTTCTACGACTGGATCTCTCTCTAATGCCTGATGCAAACTACATGGTGTTTTAAACATACTGAAAAAGAGAGCCACAAAACTTTTACAGGAAAAAGCTACATGGAAGAACACTGGCAATGTAGACTAAGTTTAACAGTCCCTTCTAGTCTCACAACTTTTCTCTGTAGGTTAATGGAAGATACTTTAAAAAGAAGAAATGGTAAACGATGACAAAACAGACTCGTGACTAAACTTTTGAAGCAGTAAATACCCGAGTTACCCAGAGCTAGGAAGTTAAATGCTACACAACAATTTACATCAACCAAGTCTACTTGTTATTTGGGCCACTCAATAACCAAACACACTGCATTCTTTTTTTTTTTTTAAGATTTTATTTATTTATTTGAGAGAGAAAGTGAGAGAGAGAAAGAGCACAAGCGGGGGGAGCAGGAGAGGGAGAAGCAGACTCCCCGCCGAGCAGAGAGCCCGATGCGGGACTCGATCCCGGGACTCCAGGATCATGACCTGAGCCGAAGGCAGTCGCTTAACCAACTGAGCCACCCAGGCGCCCCAAACACACTGCATTCTTTTCACTGATTTATGACAATCTTCTTCTATGTCGGTCTTTTATAGCTAATTCATGTACTATTCCAGACTATTCAAGAATGCACAAGGGCCCGTGGTTTTTACAATCTAACAATGCAAAACTCACATAATAGTTATTCCTCATATTTCACCTCAGTACTGAGGCTGGAAACACCTTTCTTAGGAAACACCTCAGATGATTTTATTATTATTAAAATATTTTTATTTTAATTATTAAAAATAAAATGGATGGGGCGCCTGGGTGGCTCAGGTGGTTAAGCGTCTGCCTTCGGCTCAGGTCATGATCCCAGGATCCCGGGATTGAGCCCCGCATCGGGCTCCCTGCTTGGCAGGGAGCCTGCTTCTCCCTCTCCCTCTACTGTTACCCTGCTTGTGCTCTCTCGCTCTGTCAAATAAATAAATAAAATCTTTAAAATAAATAAATAAATAAATAAATAAATAAATAAATAAATAAATAAATAAATAAATAAAATGGATGAGGAAAAAGTCACAAGCATGTGTTAAAATTCCATTTTAAATTTGACCCACGTACCTTTTCACAAAGATACACAGTTGTTCCCCTTCTGGCTGACTCTTGATCCAAAGCATTTCCTGGCCTAATAAAATGGCTAACATCTGCAATGTGAACACCAACCTGAAAAAGATAAAAATAAGAGGATGTCAACATGTTTAACTGGGTAAAGGTACTAATGGAGTTCTAATGAGAAGAAATGGAGCTAAACTGAAAAAGGATGGCCACATTTCCCATTTCAATTTCTGACACATGCTCCATTAGTCTCTGTAGTTGCAAGTGACTAGGCATGAATAATTCATAAATTCTATAATGGGTCAAAAGAAAATAAACTCAAAAACAGAACTATATATTTGGATATGAACGTCACTACAACAAGAATACCTCCAAATTTCCATTTTCCAGTTCTCTGCAATGTAGAGCATCATCTATATCAGTACATCCTGGAGGGTCCACACTACAAACACACAGGTGTCTCAGGTCTTCTCGGTTTTTCATATCCTAGAAAATGCCACATTGTTAAAAAATAAAAAACTCTTTTGGTAGTACAAATGAAACACAGCTCTTAGGAAATCAATAATTTCTCTCTATATTATGATTTGTAACTTGTGGTTTCTTCACCTTTGAATAATTTGACATAAGCTGGTGTTGATTCCCCAGAAAAATGTATCTTTCAGTAAAATAAATACTTTTTGTAATACCTAAGAGTTCTGTACCTAACTTAAATGCGGGGGAGGAGAGGACTATGGTTTCTGCTTATTTAATTAACTATTTGTAGGCTCCATGCCCAGCATCGAGCCCAACCTGGAGCCCAATGTGGGGCTTAAACTCAACCTTGAGATCAAGACCTGAGCTGAGATCAAGAGTCGGATGCTGCTTAACTGACTGAGCCACCCAGGCGCCCCAGTTTCTACATGTTTAAAAACACATACAGAAACCAAATTAGCTCAGATATAGTAATTTATAATGTGACTACATTCTTTTCAATTTACCTTTTCAGTAATACTCCAGGGCATCTTTGGAAGAAAGCTAAGAACAGCCTGTGAAAAAGGCTGATGGGGAACGTCATGCTCCAGCAACAAAACTTCTGTTTCAGTCTCTTTATCTCCAATGTCACCTAAGTTTTTTACAAAGTGTCCCTAAAACCAAAAGGTATTATTAGAAAGGTGAATTTTACAGCTTTTTGTTTGGTATATGTTATTATGACATTAAATACTTAGACATTTATATATCACTTTGGTATTTCTAAATGTTTCCAACGCTTCTTAAAAATGAGTCCATAAAGCTCAAGTGATTTATGATGGAGACTTCCTGAGAGTTCAGTTCTTACATAGCGAAGTGCTGTCTATTTCCTATGACCTTTTAAGTTTAAAATGCTACTTCAAATATAGTGGCTTCAGAATTAGTAGAATCTACTTGGGTTTCAAACACTATTTTTGTAACCACTATCAAAAGTTATTTGTTAGGAAACTGGAGTAAAAATAATCAAATGATTTGCACTGGAATTTCGTAAGATTAATTTTCAAATAAGATGTACTACTTATCTGGTAAGTTTGTGAAATATTCCTGTACTTCAGTATGAATTTTATTACAAAAGCAGATTTTATTTTCACTAAAAGAAGCAATTTTATACCCAATTCTTAATTTGATATTCTAAAAAAATATAAATCATTCAAGCTTACGTTTGGATATCTGGAATTTCTGGGCCAACCATCAATAGCAACAATAATCCTCCGTCCTTCTAATGCAGAAGCCTGTCTGGTTTCTATTCGAATTCTAGGGATTCTCCTATCAGCAGGGGTAAAGAGATGTCTTCTTGACTAAGGAAAATTAGGAGAGAAGATTTTACACACAGACACACAAATCTGAGGTTGGGGGCATGGGGAGGGCTCTAAGTTCTATTTAATGGGTATCATTTTTTATTTACACAGCAACACACTCTACTCACCTCTTTAATATCAGACTTGGAAAGCATGCCACAATATGGTCTCCAATTTCTTTTTATTATTCCTACAACTCTACCTGTGGGCTTTAACATTTTTTCATTTACAGCAGTCTTAAGCTGAGATTTAAAAAGAAAAAGAAAAACCTTCAGTTATTTTTCCTCTAAGTATAATGAGACAATTTCTCTTTAAAATCAGAATATGAATATGGATACTAATACTTCCACGCAGTAAATTATGACATAGTTACAGAATCTTGATGCTTTCAAAATTCTACATCAGAATATGCCAAACCAAGCCATGGAAATAGTTCCATAATAATAATACACTACAAAAACAGATAATCAAAAAACAAAGAAAAAATATAAATATAACTGAATAAATATGTCAGAACTCAACTGTTCAGTTTTAATATGAGAATTTACACACACACACACACACACACACACACATACATCTGGGAATTAGTAGACTAGGATTTTAGTAGTAGTTTGCTTTAAATAGCCATGTGGCATTTATTAATTCATTAAAAATACTTGTATCTTTAGAAGTTCTTCCTTATCCAAAATAAAAACCCAAATATAAAGATTATTTATTAGAAATAGCTGAAGGACTTTATGGTATTTCAACACTCTCCTATGGCTTAGACTCTACAAGGATAATACTACAGTAAGACTCCAGAGCACAATGAACAGAATTCTTATAAAAAGGAGAACTACTAATGTTTGAATTCCAACTATTTGTATTGTTCTTATAATCCTAAAATATAGAAATAAATGGGTCATGGCAGGTAGACTTTAGATCACAAGAAACAACTGAAAGCATTCTCTTCATAATAAATATGGTAACAGAGAATTGACCCTTACGTAAGGGCCCCAAAGTACATCTGTTATGCTGATGGAATTTTAACAGTACATAAAAATAATGCATAAAATTTCCAATTTGTATTTACCTAAACCTCACTAATTCAGACAAACCTAATTCAGACAGATCATGTCCCCGAACGTCAGAATTCAAGTTTCATACTCGTTACAGTCTTTCTATATTTAAACCTGTTTATTGAGTAAAGTGATAATAATTTAAAAGAAGACTATTTAAATATTTGAGGGAAAATAATCAACTATGTGTATGAAATGCATTAAACCCAGAAAACTATAATCTCATTCAGTAAGTCTGAAAGCAGGGAAATTTGTTTAATTTGCTCTAAAGCTAAAACACTAATGAATTCTACAAAGCTACACAGACAAAAGATAAACCTGTTTGGTTTCATACAATGCGTTCTCTCTCCTCTTCTTTTTCCACATCATCTTCATTTTGACCTTCATCGTGTAAAACCACAGAAGATGGTGCCACCCACTGATTCTTGGGAAGAAGTTCTACAGCCACAATATCTTCATGAATAGCTCGGTTTAAATTTTTAAGTCCCTGTAAGATTATCTGTGTAAAACAGCAAATGGCACATGCTCAGATATTTTTAATGGCAATATAATAAGGGGAAGATTACCTAACAGAAGGAAAGATATATTCTGAGTGTTTCTATGTATCTCTATTTCTCCTTTGTATTTTTTCTTCTTCTATAGTGTCCTTTTACCCCATCCTCTTAATTTCTCAATATCAAGTAGAGAAAATACGTCAGAAAATACAGGTTGTATTCATGGCTCCACCATAACTCTTACATTAGCACCAAAAAGACCTTGGGAAAACTTCTCTCTAAATCTCAGGGTCCTAATTGGGTAGAATGAAAAAAGAATACCCGCTTTCATAGGCACAGGTGAAGATTAAATGAAATGCAGCATTCAAAGCAGGTAGAAGAGTATCTGGCAAATAGTGAGCACCCAAAAATGATTCCTATTTGCTTTAAAGCGTGTGAAGCCCAGTGGAGCATTTATATGTTATGTAAATAGCATTTTCCATAACTAGCCATAATACAGAAAATAGAAGCATCCTACGATTTTCTCAATTGTTTGATTAGATTTTTATTCTCTTAAAAGTGGGGTAAATAAAAAGTTCTTTTCTTCCATAAGCAGCTCTCTAAGAAAGTGATTCATTCTATTATCTATGACCTCTCACATAACTGCCTTTAAGCTGATAAACTGGAAGGATAGAGTAAGTTTAAATTCTCCTACAAAATTTTAAACACTTATGAAAGAAAATCATGAACAGAAAGTGTTTTACTGTATTTGGAATTTATGTACACAACACTTGCCTCTTTCTCTTCTTCAGTGTCTCCATGAACCCATACTGTAGCTTCTAAGTAATTTTCCCTGCTTGCTCTAAATGTTCCTTGAAGGTATGTCCCAGATTTTATGCCTTGTTGTAGCTTACTTAAAGGAAGATGCTCTGAAAATATTATTCTTCCACTTTCTATTTCATTCTGTGAAATGAGCAAACCACAAGATGTAGTTAGTATATAAATCTTCCTTACACTCAATAGACAACTATTATTATCACTATCAGGTATTTAAAAAAAAAAGAAATCCACGGAGCACCTGGGTTAACTGTTCAACTCTTGATTTCGGCTCAGGTCATGATCTCAGGGTCCCGGGATCGAGCCCCACACTGGGCTCTGCACTCAGCGGGAGTCTGCTTGAGATTCTCCCACTCCCTCTCCATCTGTCTCTCCCCACCCCTGCACACACATGCTCTCTCAAATAAATAAATAAATAAATAAAACCCAAAAGACAAATTACCATATGATTGCACTCATGTGGAATTTAAGAAACCAAACAGATGAACATATGGGAAGGGAAGGAAAAATAAAGCAAGATAAAAACAGAGAGAAAGACAAACCGTAAGAGACTCTTCAGTACAGGAAATGAACTGGGGGTTGCTGAAGGGGAGGTGGGTAAGGGGATGGGATGAGGTAATTGGGTGATGGGCATTAAGTAGGACACTTGAAGTAATGAGCACTGGGTGCTGTATGCCACTGATGAATCACTAAATTCTACCTCTGAAACTATCAATACAGTATATGTTAATTAAATTGAATTTAAATAAAAAGTTTTTAAAAAACCATCCACGTATGATACATACAACTCTGTGAGTTTGAGAATAAGGCACAGTAGGAAAAAACGCTTTCTATTCTTAGGGCAACTTAAATAAATATTTGAATTTCATTACATTTCGGCATTTAGCCACAGATATGTCACTAATAAACTCTGCACACCCCCTCTTCCCACCCCAGGCCTCCCAGAATGAAGGTGTGTAGTTAAGGAGGTCAGGTGAACAGGTGGGTAGGTAAGTAAAGGGTATATTGAAGCTTCAACTCCATGAGTAGAGTGTGGCTACAGAAAGTACAAGAAAAGCTATTTTTATTTTGGATGTATTACATAGTTAAGAATATAAGATAAAAGTAGGATAGGGACTGCTTTAGGTCTACCACACCTGTCAGGATTTTTAGAGGCCTCAACATCCAAAATCCTTACTGCTTGGCTCCTTTAATTAATTGCCTTTTTCATTTCCCACAATCTTCTACCTTCCAGGGAGATTACTTTAGTCCTTTTTTTCCTTAACTCTCCCATTTTCCTCTCCCTGCCTCACTCTCAGATGAGTGACTGCAATCTCCATACTAAGAATCAAAAGCAGTCACTAGAGACCTACTTCATCTTCCTGCCACTGAATCTGCCCACCTAACTGCATCTATATCAAAACCTCAGCCTTCTTTCCTGCAACAATGAATAGAATGTTTCTGTTCTTTCAGCTACCTACCTACCATCTCCTCTCCTCCATTCAAGAACTTTGTCCTGTGATGATCTTCTCTCTCTAGAGTCAAATGTCCCATCCCCCCTTGCTACTACATTCACACCATCATATAAATTTGCAATAACATGACCTATTAAAATAAATATAGTTAGTTAATTAATTTTGGGTCTCCTGGCCTGATCCTCTGTTCTGCTTCACACCAACATGCCACAAAAATACTATCTATAATTGCTGTGTGTCTACGTGTTCACCCGCACTCTTTCTGGAATGCACGATAAGCAAGTTTCATTGTCAGTCACCAAAGCTATTGTTATTGAAGTCACTAATAACATATTAATCTGAGCAACTTCAGTGCTCCATTCTCGGTCTTATCAAGATTTTTTTAAATGACCCTTCCTTCCCTGAGACACTTTCGCATCCAAATCATCATTCCTTGGGTTTCTGTCCTACTTCACTGGTAGCTCCTCCTTCGGTTCCTCTGCCCATTCTCCTTTTCCTGATCTCTAAATGTTGGAGTGTCCAAGACTTGGTTATAGGCCCTTTTCTTTACCTGTGTTTACTCTTGTGTCATTTCCTCCCACTTAAAACAACAACAAAACCTCTTGATCCCTCTTGCTTTCCAACAATCACCTCATTTCTCTCCTTTCCCACCACAGCGTTTGAAGTGTTACCATGCTGTAAATTTTCCCTTCTCATTTTTTTCATCTTTTCTATTCAGACTTCTGCCTCCCTACCATCAAAACTACTCTGGATAGTACCCACCCCCTGCAAATGTCATAATGCTAAATCCAATCATCAGTTCCCCTCATTACTTTTGACTTAGCAACATTTGACCTGGATAATCACCCCTTCCTCTTTGAAATATTTTCTTACTTGGCTTCCAAGAACTTCACACCTGTTTTTCCTTTGGATCGCATTTGCTGGTTCCCCTGATGTTTCTGACTTCTCCTGGAGTACCCACGGGCTGAGCCCTTGGACCTCTTCTCTTTTCTATCTATATTCATTTCCCTAGATCAGGGTTAGGCAAACTAAGGTCCATGCACCAAGTCCAACCTGTTGCCTGTATTTGGTAAGTTAAGTTTTACATTCCATTCTCATTCACTTATCTATTGTTGGTGGTTGCTTTCATGCTACAATAGCAGAGATGAATACTTATGATAGAGACCATAGAGCCTGCAAAGCTAAAGAGGAAAAAAAAAAAGTTTACAGCCCCATCCAATCTAACACAAAGCCCTAAAACATCAATGTACAAAGTAATACCAGTATCTGACTACTTCCCACTACCTTAACTGCTCCTACCATGGTCCAACTTTCTGTCTTGTCTCCCATGGAGCTCTAAAATATCCTCCTAACTGGAGGACCCTGCTTCTAATCTATTCTCTTAAAGCAGCCAATGGATCTTATTCTCCCACTCAACATCTGCCCAGCACTCATGGACTAAAATCCAAACTTACAAAAAAAAGTTTGCCTAGGAGAAATATTTGCAAATCACTTATCTGATAAGGAACTTGTATCCAGAATACAAAAAGAACTCTTACAACTCAGTAATAACAAGACAACCCAATTAAAAACCAGTCAAAGGATTTGAAGAGACATATGCACACACATGCATAAGTTAAAATACACATCTATATATTACATATAACGTACACATGGCCAATAAGCTCATGAAAAAATGCTCAATACCATTAGCCATTAGGGAAATGCAAATCAAATCAAAATGACATTGAGATGTCACCTGACACTCATTAAAATGGTTACAATGAAAAAGACAGACAACATGTATTGGTGAGAAACTGGAACTCTCATACATTGGTGAGGAGCTGGGACTCACATACATCAGTGAGGAACTGGGACCCTCATACATTGCTGGGGGGAATGTAAACTGCTGCACACACTTTGGGAAACAGTATGGCAGTTCCTCAAAAAGTTAAATTTAATATTACCATATGATGGAGCAAGTGCTCTTGCACATACCTAAGTATGTATCAAAGAGAAACAAAAACAGTCAAAAAAGACCACATATTACATTATCACACTTATATGAAATGTGCAGAATAGGCAAGTTTACAAAGATAGACCAGTAGTTGCTTGGGGCTAAAGCAAGGGCATTTCAGGGACAGACTGGGATTGAATGGTAATGGATATGGATTTATTTTGAAAGGGAAGAAAATGTTCTAAAATTAGATTGTGGTGATGACTGCATTATCCTGTAACTATACAAAAAATTGTACATTTTAAATAGGTGGGTTGTATGGTATGTGAATTATACCTCAATAAACCTGTTTTTTTTAAAAAAACGTCTGTCAATCCCTGCCTATATGTTGATGAGATCCAAATTTATATCTCTAATATATCCATATCTCTAGTCCTAAACTCCCTCATGAGCTACAGATTTGCATATCCAACTGCTCATACCATAAAGCCACCGAGAGCTCTAACAGTTACCTCAAACTTAGATGTCTAAAATCATACTTTTGATTTTCCACTCAATCCTGCTCCCTGCCTTCATCCTATGTAAATGAAGCAATACTACTCATATGGTTGCTCAGGCAAAACACCTAAGGTCACCCGTATTCCTCACAGCCCTATCCAATCTAACACAAAGCCCTAAAACATCAATGTACAAAGTAATACCAGTATCTGACTACTTCCCACTACCTTAACTGCTCCTACCATGGTCCAACTTTCTGTCTTGTCTCCCATGGAGCTCTAAAATATCCTCCTAACTGGAGGACCCTGCTTCTAATCTATTCTCTTAGAGCAGCCAATGGATCTTATTCTCCCACTCAACATCTGCCCAGCACTCATGGACTAAAATCCAATTTTTTCACCATGACTCATTATATCCTACACGATCTGGTCCCTGCCTATATTTCTGACTTCCTGTGTAACATTTTCTCCCTTGCTTACTCCATCCCAGGCACTCTTCCAGCTATTCCATGATCTTGCCAACTTATTCTAATCTCAGAGCCTTTACTTGCTGATTCCTCTGCATAAAATGCTCTTCCCCTAGTTACTATGATGGTTAGCTCCCTCACATAACTCAGCTAAAATGTCCCTGTCTTGAAGCGAATTTGCTTAGTTAACATCCTTCACGTCTCTGCCTTGACATCCCAAATCTGGGTTAGGTGCTAAGTACAGTCAGTCCTCCCATAATGCTTGTTTTGAAAACATGAATTGGTTCCATTGCAGCTGCTATATTAAAAAATACTGGGTGAACGCAGAAAACTGCAGCTAGCTGAACAAAGCTGCAGAGGAAACCACAAAACAGTCACCTCTCAAACATCTGTTACCCCAGACTACTGGGTGTTTTATGAGCCACACCATCTTCACCTTCTCGAACAACTTTTCGCCCAAATTTGGATAACCCTATTTCCACCACTTCACAAAACTTCTGAGTGTGCCCCAACCACATTTTCCCATTAGCTCTGCTGCTTTTACTACATGATTTTGCAGGACACGGTGAATCTGAAGAACATACATGTTGTACCACAACAGCACTGGCTGTAATTTCGCCATGTCCTACACTTACCCTACCACAGTCCTCAATCAAATATTATGTGCTACCCACGTTAGATTTCTTCTTTCCTCTTCTAAACCAGTGCTATCCAAAACAACTTTGTGATGATGGGAATATTGACTTTGTGGTCTCCAATATGGTAGCCACTGGGCACAAGCCACTCTTGAGCACTTGAAAGGTGAATAATACAACTGAGAAACTGAATTTTTAATCCGAATTAAATCTAAAAAGCCAGAGGCAACTAGTGGCTACCTATTAGAGCAGTCCCTAAATCTATTTCAAAATCAAGCCCAGCTCTTATTTTCTCACTTCAATTTTGTAAAGTAGTTGATTGAAGATAAGCAGGGATGAAGAAAATGTTGTAAAGACTAGATATCTAATGTTCTATTACATAAAACCTGTTTCTATAATAAAAGTAGCTGCCATTTACATTTATCATAGCTACATGCCAGGCATTGAGATAAGAATTTTATTAATACTATTGTTATTATTTCATTTGATCTTCATAACAATGCTTTGAAGTCATTACTGTTAAATACACTTCACATGTAAGGAAGTGAGTACCCATGAGGTTTTATGACTCACTTAGCATGCCCCCCCATCTCCACTACTGCATGGATCCCTTTACTCCTCCTTCTGCCTCTAACTTTGTCCTTGACACAATGCATCAGCTCACAAACTGGAATTAGAGTGGTCTTTCAAATGAACATTTCCGATCATTCTCCCCCATTCCTCCCAGACCTACTCTCATCCACCTTTAATTTCCTTTAGCTTGCCATTATAAAGTAGGGAGCCCAGAATCCTACCTGCTACCTTCTCTTCACAGCAGCCCTTTAGAATAAGATAGTTTAAAAATTACTGACCGACAGAATAAATTCTAGATCTTCATTAGCTGGCCCCTACCCTTCCGGTTCTACTTCTTATGACTCCCTCCCTTCTTCCTTCAGGATTAATGCTACAGCTTTATGCTGTCTGCAATGCCCACCACGTCTTTTTTTGTCAAATACTTACACCTTATTCACAAACCAGCCACAGATTCCTTTATTTATTCATCAAACAAATGGTGCCACCATGTGACAGGCCCAACTCAGGTTGCTGAGGGTCTATCAGTGAACAGTGCTATTTTAGAAAGTCAAGTCTTTTAGGAATGGCATTTTGATAAGCCTATTACAGCCACTCTTGTTTATAACCCAACTCCTATTCAATTCCAGCTTACCTACCAATATTCCAATTTTTAAATTTGATTAACTATAAACTTAAGATCCCAAAGTGGCCATTTTAATATTTTCACTTTTCAAAAACAAAATAAAACTAACTCACACATACCCCTTCTTCAGACAAACAAGCAAGACGATCTACGAGTTCCGGGTTAGCAGTCAGGCTCTTTACATATTCTTCACCTGAAAAATAAGTTTTGTTCTTGATAAAGTGTTTTCTTTTTTTTTTAAAACCCGTTATCTGTTGATATGGTCACGTCAAAGCAGAAGTATTGGGTCAAGCATATCTATGAGTTTTTTGGGGTTTTTTTTTAAGATTTTATTTGTTTGACAGAGAGAGAGAGAGAACACAAGCAGGGGGAGGAGCAGGCAGAGGGAGAAGCAGGCTCCCTGCTGAGCAAGGAGCCTGATGCGGGGGCTCGATCCCAGGATTGTGAGATCATGACCTGAGCCGAAGGCAGATGCTTAACTGTCTAGCCACCCAGGTGTTCTTCTATGAGTTTTTATTGCTAAGCCAATTTCAAAGGGTGATGGGGAAATTAACAGCCACTGGGCACCACAACTTACTTGGCTAAGAAATGCTGAGAAATTTAAAAATGAAAACATCAGATGGCGTTATATAGGAATATGAAAGTATTAAATGTTTAAGTGAACATCTGACCAAGGGCCTGATGGCAGTTCATATGTGCAAATGCATATAAAAATTAACAGCTTTTACATTTAGACTTACAAGTGAAAGCTGGTATTCCTTCTTCTATGGCTTTTTCTTTGTTTTTTTTGTCATTTGTTATGAAGATGACTTGTAGATGATTTTCTGCTGACATTTTCTTCAAATGTTCATTGTACCATTTTGCTGCTACTCGAATGGCTCTATCATTCCTGTCATTAGCATTTTCTCCCTGTTCTTGTTCTACATAAGTTTCTCTAAATATAAAAAAAGTAACAAATAAAAATCAATAGAAATAAGAATATATAAAAAGTCTTTGGACATAAATGCTTAATAACCACTACACTATAATAAAACTTCACAGGTTTGATAATAAGATTTTATTTGAACTGCAGATTAATGACAATTCCCAAAAGCTACAAATAGGATGATTAATGATATGATTCTATAGTCATTAAATACAAAATACATGTAAATCAGCAGTGGTAAACACTCAATAAATGGCAGAACTTATCTAGAGACTGAAAGACCACATACAAATATCCCTTCACAGGAATATTCCTTCACAGTCTATCCACTCTAAAGTCCCGAATATGTCAGCATACTTACTTCCTTAAATTGATCTTTCAAAGCCAAATTTAAGTAAAATTAACAAAATTCGGTACAAAACCTTTTAGCGCTTAAGAGATTCAACTTTAGAATCTTACGCTTATTTATACTAATAGTTTTTAGAACAGCTTCATTCCTCACCATTAAATGCCTTTGCTAATGCTTTAAGCTTATCAGTCAGACACTATCATTAAATTTTGAATTGGTTTTAGCATGACTTGAGCAATACAATCTTGGATGAGATTTGCCCAAGTGTCCTTCAACGCCAGTATTGCTAAGCTCTATTCACTGCACTTAAGCAGAAAAACTGCTAACCTCTCATTAAAAATCTGATGATAATGCTCCACAAAAACTTGGTCTTTCTGCACCGAAAAACAAGTTTCTGTTTCTGAATTTCAAGAAGCTAGGAATAAAATGACAAGTGCTTTACCAATGATTTTTACAAGAATAATATTTAAATTTGGGCTATAGAAATGAGAATACTTAAAAAATTAAATATTTTTAAATATGCATATTCCAATGAGATTTCATTACCAGAATTCTACTGTCTAATCCACTGGGGGTGATTTACTGCCCAGGAACATTTGACAATGTCTGGAGACATTTTGGGTTGTTACAACTCTGTGGATGGGGGAAGATGGGGTTGCTAAGGGCATGTAGAGAATAGAAGAACAAAATGCTGCTAAACATTCTATGATGTATAAGACAGCCTGCCCACAACAAATTATTATTCAGTCCAAAATGTCAATAGTACCAAAGTTGAGAAGCCCTAATTTAATAAAGATATACTAGAACTCAACAGAGATAATTTATGTAACACATGAAATAGCAATATATTTTCTAAAACCACACATTATGTTCAAAGGGTGTCAATCTGAAACACAACAAAGAATTCTATTTCTTAACCCTATCTTCTTCAATATGATCAGTTAAAAAGTATTGTTTAACTTTTAAAAGCCCATTAATAATAAATCTGCTTTATATTTTTAAACCTCTCTTTCATAAACTCTTACATTTTATCAATTTCTGTTGGTCATCAAATAATATGGTATTCCAGGAACCTGGGGATATCTCATTTTCCAAAATTTTATTGCTCAACTCATGCTGAAATGAATTCAAAATGAAAACATTTTAGAAACAAAAGTACCCACAGTAGCCTAAGAGTCTGGAGACCTTGGTTCTAGGTTTGATCTAATCAATGCCTAGGTACCTTAGGTACACTGAGGATTATGTCTGTACAACTGTGTTACAACCAAATAATCCTCCCATAGGTATGAAACTTACCTCGCACCTTATGACAATGTCACAATTACTGCCAGGAACCCTTCCCCAAAATTTGGCTAATTCTATGGTTTTCCGGTAATTAACATAATTTTCCCCCTACCTATGGTGCTCATTAGTGAACGTGTAGAAATGCTTCTCCTGGTTATTAGTCACATCTCTGATTCGTTTATATACCGGAGCACTCCGATTTCTCACTTCTTGCAGAACTGTTTGTAGTACAATCACATTCCTGATGGCAGGGTCCTCAAGAACATCGATCTTAAAAAATAATAATAATAATAAGGAAAGAAAACTTAAATTTTCCTATGTTCCCTGATAAATTGTTTCTGCCAAACATAAAACCCTGTCGATTAAAAAAAAAAAAATCACGTATACATTAAACTAAGGAGCTATTCTGCTACAGAAAACCTTCGGGTCTATTAGAGAAGAGTACATATAAACAGACTAATTACAAAACTTCGTAGAATTAAGTTCACTAATAATGAAATACGTTGGCCCACACAGTTTTCATTCGTAGGCACTTACAAGCTGCCTGGGAGTCGCAGGCTGGAGGCCACAGAAGCCCAGGTCCCCGGCCTCCAGACACTTAAAATCTAAGGCAGAAGAGACACCAGGAGTTAGAAAACTAATCTAAAATTCTTATGACTCCAAGAACTCAAAAAAAACCACAAAAAAACAAAAAACAAAGAAAAGAAACTTGGCCTCGGAGACAGGAGGCAAGGGTCCCGAGATGGGGTTTGCCTCTCCCTAAGTACGTCCAAGACTCTCCTCCGTGGGCCTCAGTTTCCCTATTCTGTCACACCCCCTTCTCCTGTAGTGCCGAGACGACCACGGCCAGCCCCTCCACCGACGCACCTGGTGCAACAGCACGTTGGTGTCGGGAAGCAAGTAGTGCGGCCGGGGACACAGGCTGCTCGCAGGATCCAGGGGCTGCGGCTCGAGGACCGGCCCCTCGTGCGCACCGTCGCACGCCGCGCACCCGGGCGCGCCGCAGCCGATGTCGTCCCGCAGGTAATGCTCGCGCACGATCTTCATCACGCCCCCCGCCCGCGTCTTTTTTAAGAAAGTCTTGGACTTGAGCATCTTGCTTGCAGTGCGGAATCCCAACCCTGACCGCGCTCTTCCGGTGAAAAGTGTCAAGTAGAAGCCTTGCGGCACAACTATACTTTACCCCGAAGTTCACCCCTTCCCGCCCCAGGGTATTAATAAACACCTCGCGCGGGAAAACGTCGAGGCTGACGTTAGTTGGCTCTCTGAGGGCTGCGAGTATTGGGCGAAAACGAGGAGGATGGGCGGAGCCCGGAGCTACTTCCATCCAGGACCTGGGCGGGGCTCGCCTCTGGACTACAGCTCCCAGCATGCACTGCTCCCCGCGTTGGGGGTGGATCCAGGCTGAGTTCCGGCGGCGTGGGCGATTGCACGCTGCCGCTTCCTCCGTCTTCCCACGGGCGCGGAAGTGGTTGTCTTGGTTACGGGTCCTAACGGTCCCCGGTCTGAAATTGCTTGTTGAGGAGCTGCAACCTGAGCTTCTGTTTGGGGACGCTTTCAACTCTTTGGAGAAGCGACGGTGGTGGCTGGTCCAGCCTTAGACGTGGAGTAGTTGAAACTTTCGAGGTAGCTCGCGGCTATCCCTTCCTTTCCCACGCAGGGCAGGGAATCCTCCTACACTGCCGAGTTTGGCTTCTTCGGGCAGCTCCAGACCCCGATCCTTTGTAATCCGGGTGTTGCCTCTCTCAGATTTCACCTTTCCCTTTCGAGAGGGATGCCGTTTCCCCTCCACACACCTTTCTAATCATTTAGTTTGGAAAACCTGATATCTGCAATACCGTAAATAACTTACTATGTCATGTAGTACTAAAAGAAGAGAAAGGGTAAGAAGTTCGATTTAGAATACTTGAGTTTGTTTTTTTCTACGTTCTTGTTTTCATTTTATCTGGAGGTCCATTGGAATATTTTTATTTCACTGTTTCCCTTTTTAAAAAATCTTCAGTGATGCCTCGTTGCCTATAGAATAAATTTCGAACACATTCTGACATTCAAGGCTCTCGAAGTCTTGATTATTAAGGTTGTATGTGTGTTTGTGTATGAGGGGTAGGGTGAGTCCTACTACTCAAAATCACGAAGGCTTGGCCCCAGCGGGACTACAACTCTCTTCTGCTATTGTGCATTTTCACCACCTCTGTGAAACCTTAATTCTTGCATGCTTTTTTCTTGTTGCTACTCTAAATCCTTCAGGATTTTAAGTAGACAAAACCTTCATGTGATCAACTCAGAAGTGATTTCTCTAATCTCGAACACGTGCTGCTTTTCGTTCCTGGATACTACTGCTGACTAGGGCTTTTATCCTTTACCTCGAACAATTTCTTTGTTTCCTACAAGTAAGATTCCTGTCCCCAGGAACTGGGCTTTTTATTCATCAAGGGCAAATTCATAGTAGGATTTAATGAGCTTGATTTAGTATGTTTGATTTGGGCAGTAATTTACTAATCTGTCCTAGATGAGGGGTCCTCCAGATTGTCTAATAACTACTTAGGCATTCATTAGTCTCTCTTTAATATACTTATGCTTTCCACAGAGAATGTTTGAATACATTTAATATTTTTAACCCACAGAAAATTGAAATTGAATTGGAGAAGAAAACTGAGCCATAATAAAAAAAAAAATGTCTCGAAAAATTGCCAGGGCATCAAAAAAAGTGAATATCTCTAGCTCGCTGGAATCTGAAGATATTAGTTTAGAAACAACAGTTCCTACGGATGATATTTCATCATCAGAAGAGCGAGATGGTAAAATCAAAATCACCCAGCAACTAATCGAACGTAAAGAACTACTTCATAATATTCAGTTACTGAAAATAGAGCTATCCCAGAAAAATATGATGATAGACAACTTGAAAGTGGATTATCTTACGAAGGTAAGATTAGGTGTAATTTTTTTTTTTTTTAAGATTTTATTTATTTGAGAGAAAGAGAGAGAGAGAGCACATGAGAGGGGGAGGGTCAGAGGGAGAAGCAGACTCCCCGCTGAGCAGGGAGCCCGATGCCGGACTCGATCCAGGGACTCCAGGATCACGACCTGAGCCGAAGGCAGTCGCCTAACCAACTGAGCCACCCAGGCGCCCAGATTAGGTATAATTTTTGTTACCTTTATGCTTTATTGTTTCCAAACTGCAGATAAATAAGAATTAACATTATATATGTATCTGAACTTGAAATGATACGTTTATCATTTCAAAAAGAAAATTATATTTTCTTGCATAGTTGAAAAAAAATTTGGGGAAGGAGAGGGGGAGTGAATTATACTTCTGTGTATTAAATAAAAAGTCCTGAAAGAGGCGATGATTTGAAGTTGGGCAGGGATGAATTGCTTCTGTAGGCTCAATTTTTAAAATCTAGCATGTGTGGGGTATATCTTTTTAGGTGTTTTTTTCCAGCCAAGATGTTTTCTGCTTCATTGGGAATTAACCCTGATGTGACTAGTTTGATAGGGAGAATCAAGATCATAATTACATTATTGAGTCTGTATAGTCTTCTGCCCTGGAGATTCAGTTTCTTTGGTATCTCTGATAGTTATTCATATTCCTGAGTTTATGACACCTAATCATCATTGATCTTTGCCACAGCCACTTTTTATTTTGTATATTCTTTTTATTCCCATAGCTCATTTCCCTTCTTCCCTCTATCAACTATTTTTTTTTAAGATTTTATTTATTTGAGAGAGAGGGATGGGAAAGAGAACACGAGCGGGGTTGGGGTGAAGAGGGAGAGGGAGAAGAAGACTGCCCGCTGAGCAGGGAGCCCAATGAGGGGCTCAGTCCCGGGACCCCAGGATTAGGACCCGAGCCAAAGGCAGACACTTAACCAATTGAGCCATCCAGGCGCCCTTCTATTAACTATTTTAATTTTTTTTTTTACATTTGTTCTTGAAAATGGGAATTTTTCTTATTTTTTTCCTTTACATAAATGTAAATTGCATGTTTTGTTTTAGAGTTTCTCTCTTTATAGTTGTTGTTTTTTTTCCCATCTCAGGGATGTTTTTGAAATCGTTAATGTTAACTGTGTATGTCTCGTCTTCTGCTTCTAACTTGTATGTAATTCTGTGTGTGTGTGTGTCTACCAATCTCTCCATCCACTACCGCAGAGATAGGCACTTAGATTGCCTTCCAGTTCTCTGCCACCACATGCAACATGGGCCTTCTGTAGGCATTTCTCTTTTGGACCTGTGTGGACATCTTCTTTGACATGTATACTCAGGAATAGAATTTCTGGCTCACAGGGTATATACATACTTAATTAAACTGAGTGTACTGTCAAATTACTCTCCAGAATAGCTGCGTACTCTACATTCCCATGATTTTTGGTCCATGAGCACTAGGGTTGTTTTGCTTAGAGACCCCTTGGGAGTAAGATGTTTGTTGTCAGATAAATGGAGAAATGTTATACAGTAGAAGAATTAGTCTTTCAGAATTCATCAAATCCAAGGCAGCTTGATTGTAAAGTGGACCATTACTTGTATCACTGAGATTAAAAACTGCCAAGTTAAACTGTTATGTGCTATAGATTGTAAGATGCATTCCAGTTTCAGAGATGTAAAATGTGCAAAAGTGAGAATCTGGGATCAATGAAGGAACAGAATTTTTAGACATTTATTTTCCAGAGCTTACCAGTATATTGAGCATTGGGGGTACAAAGATGAAAATATCAATTTTTAGCATTATTTTTTTATTAGTTACAGAGGTAGAGTTTAGTGATTCATCAGTTGCATATAACACCCAGTGCTCATTACATCAAGTGCCCTCCTTAATGTCCATCACCAAATTACCCCATTCCCCCACTCACCTCCCCCTCCAGCAACCCTTAGTTTGTTTCCTATAGTTAAGAGTTTCTTATGGTTTGCCTCCCTCTGTTTTCATTTTATTTTATTTTTCCCTCCCTTCCACTGTAACCCTCTATTTTGTTTCTTAAATTCCACATATGAGTGAAATCGTATGATAATTGTCTTTCTTGGATTGATTTATTTCACTTAGCATAATACCCTCTGGTTCCCTCCACATCATTGCAAATGGCAAGATTTCGTTTTTTGCTGGCTGAGTAATATTCCATTGTGTGTGTGCTGCATGTGGCATTATTAAAAATAAATTTCCCTTACTAGACTATAGATAATAAAAGTCACAGGAAAAGTAGATTTCTGCTGACTATAAAGCTTTCTTGCTATTAACATTTAAATGGCTTGATTTAAGTTACTGAGCTTCCTATCATTGGAAGCATTCTATAGTCCTGAGTGGTCATGATATATTATAGGTATTTTTGCTGTGGAAAGAGGTTGAACTAGCTGTGCAGTGTTCTGGGGATGAAGTTCAGTTGCTAGTACCAGAGGCTTAGAAAATGGTGGCTGCCTGTAACACAGGAGAAGGATTTTATTTCTCTTGTTTAACAGTAATCTGAAAGTAGGTAATTTAGATTTGGGGTGGTTACTCCTTGATATTGTTAGGAACCCAGGCTCCTTTTAACCTTCTGCACAGCTGTTTTAAGCATGTGCTTTTCATCTTAAAGTCACAGATGGCTGATCTACCTCCAGTATTGTATCCATGTTACAGGCAGAGGATGAGGAGAAGGATAATGGGAAAATGGGACACATGCCAAAAGACTCATTCCCTTTTATGTACTTCTGTTTTTTTAAGATTTTATTTATTTATTTATTTGAAGGAGAGAGAGAGTGCGCATGCTACCAGGGGGAGGGTCAGAGGGGGAAGGAGCGGGAGAGGGGGAGAGAATCTGAAGCAGACTACCGGCTAAGCACAGAGCTCCACGCAGGGCTGGATCTCGCTATCATCAGATCAGGACCTGAGCCGAAACCAAGAGTCAGACACTTAACCAGCTGAGCCACCCAGAAGCCCCAGGACTCATTCCCTTTTAAAGAGCTTTCCCAGAAGCTCAAGCCAGTGACCTCAATAAACTAGAACTATATAGCATGACCACTTTAGCTGGAAGGAGTGGAAAGCTGGGAAATGTAAATAATTAACTGGATACATTATTGTCACTAATAAAAATCAGAGTTACATTAGATAGAAGAGAAGACTTGGTGTTGGGAGACGAGTAGCAATTTTTGTTCTATTCATCACAGTCTTTTTAAGTTAGAAAGTCTGTGAATCTAACGTTTTTTCTACACCAGTATGGTGGCAATACAATTTTTACATTTGTTA